TCCACACCTTGCCTTCCCTCACCAGGAGCTGGAGCTGAAGCATGAGCGGCAGCAGAAGATCCTGAAGATCAAGACAGAGGAAATTGCGGCTTTCCAGAGGAAGCGGCGTAGCGGCAGCAATGGCGCTGTGGTCAGCCTGGAGCAGCAGCAGGTGGGTGGACCAAGCCTGCGCCCAAGCGCAAGGCCTGGCTGGTGGCCAGGGATCCCAGGGTCTCCTCATGGGACCTCGGTGGCAGCCCTCCAGAGGGGGAACTGTGACCCCTCCTTGGCTCCCCGCTGCTCCGCAGAAGATCGAGGAGCAGAAGAAGTGGCTGGACCAGGAGATGGAGAAGGTGCTGCAGCAGCGGCGGGCGCTGGAGGAGCTGGGGGAGGAGCTGCACAAGCGGGAGGTCATCCTGGCCAAGAAGGAGGCCCTGATGCAGGAGAAGACAGGGCTGGAGAGCAAGCGCCTGCGGTCCAGCCAGGTGAGGCCCTGCCGGGTAAGGTGCCTGCAGATAACCCTGCCAGCTGAGCTTCTGCCAGGAGAGTATCGCACACAGGTGAGGATCTTCCAGTTGAGGTCTAGACAGATGTGGAACTTGTAGGTCAGTGGTGGTAAACCTGTGGCACGTGTACTATAGCGGGCTGTTTGAATCATTGAAAGCTCCAAAAGGTTCACCATCACTGCTCTAGGTGATGTCCTTGCCAGGTGAGTTCCGGACAGGTGAGACTCCATGCTGCCAAACCATAGCCCATGGATCCTCAAGAATGTAAGCTGGGCGTGGTGGCTTATGCCTGTAATCTCAGCACTCAGGAGGCTGACGGAAGAACGCTGCAGGTTCAAGGCCGGCCAGGGCTACAAAGTGAATTCGAGGGGCTGGGGATTTAGCTCAGCGGCATAAGCACCTGCCTTGCAAACAGGCAGTCGTGAAAGTCGTGAATTCAATCCCCGGTACCAATAAAAAGGAAAAAGACCAAAAAAAAAAAAAAAAAAAAAAAAGTGAATTCAAGGCCAGCCTGAACTGCATGGTGAAACCCTGTCTCAAAAAGACCACAAAAAAACACAAAAAACAATGCAGAGCTTTGGGTGGCTAATGAAGTAGTGAGATGTGGGACATCCCACAACTTACTTTACACCATTAGCCACCTATGCAGGGCCTGGGCAGGCAGCACGAGGAGGAACTGGTTCAGGAAGTGGCATGAGCATCTAACAAGTGACCTTGCCAGTTTCGAAGGTGGGTGGGCAGGCCTGAGCTCCCAGGCATTCTTACTCCTGGTGAATAGGAGGCTCAGCCTCTGACCCTGTGTTCTCCACTGTCTGTCGGGGGTTGGAATGTTGCTATAAGGACGGAAGGAATATGTTCAACCCAGACCCAAGCCTGGTCCATTCCGGGCACCTCTAGGGCTGCAAGTGCACTAAGACCAGGATGCCTGGCCTCAGAGTGTGCTGAAGGCCGAGAGGAGAAGAGCGCTGCTGGGCTTCTATCACTTCCCTTGGCCGTTAGCACCTCTCTTCCTCCTGGGTCAGCTCCTGGCAGGGCTTTTGGGGTTTGGTCGTGAATTTCTAGTGGTCCCATCACACACCATCTGGTTGAGTCATCTCAGTGACACCCCTCCCACCAGCTTTGCCCTTGTCCATGTTGTCCCTTCTGGCCATCAGGGCCTCTTCCATCTGCTTCTTCCTCTGGGCCTTCTCTGAGGTTCCCTCCCAGGTGCTCTGGTCCCTGGGTCCTCTGGTCCCTGGGTCCTCTGGTCCCTGAGCTGTGAGCTAAGCCAAGCCTCCTGCAGAGTAAGTGGTGGACTGTGGGCTTCTCCAGAAAGGGACTCCTGTTCCCCTCAGCATACAGTGAGGAGCCTGGGCCCTTTGTGTTCCCACTTCGGGGACAATGCCTGCTCCTTCCCTAACCCCTGATGTTGCTGCCCCAGGCCTTGAATGAGGACATTGTGCGAGTGTCCAGCCGGCTGGAGCACCTGGAGAAAGAGCTGTCTGAGAAGAGTGGGCAGCTGCGGCAGGGCAGCGCTCAGAACCAGCAGCAGATCCGAGGGGAGATTGACACCCTGCGCCAGGAGAAGGATTCGCTGCTGAAGCAGCGCCTGGAGATTGACAGCAAGCTGAGGCAAGGCAGCCTTCTGTCGCCCGAGGTACACTCAGGTCACCCCTCTGTTCTTGTTGTCCGTCTGTTCATCTGCTCTCTCAGCCCCTACCCTGGTTCTTGGGGTGCTGGCCTTGCTGCTTATAGACGCAGGTTCCCCTGTGCAGGAGGCCCTGTGGTGGGGCTGGCCTCCCTTTCTGGCCCTGCCTCTACCACCTCAGCTGGGACACAGCCTGGCTTTTCCAAACTAGGCTCCCTTCTGGCTAGAACCTGGACTCCTGCCCTACTAGTGCTGTGTTGGACCACAGGCTCGCACATCTCTATTCTGGGCATGGGGCTGGGTGTCAGAAGCATGCGTAGCATCCCTCCTGGCCATACATGCGCACTGTCCCCGAGCAGAGAGAGCCAGCCCTGGCGGCATAAACTTACTGGGGCTGTGACCAAAGTGTCCCTTGTGCTGCCACGGTGAGCAGGGGCATTTTCTCCTAATGCTCAGGAGGGGATGCAGAAGACGGCCTTTTGACTTTTGCATGTCTGTCCAGGACTTTGTGTATCAGGAAGCCAATGCTGTTTCTCCACGTATGTTCCTGTCCCTGCAGGAAGAGCGGACGCTGTTCCAGTTGGACGAGGCCATTGAGGCCCTGGATGCTGCCATCGAATACAAGAATGAGGCCATCACGTGCCGCCAGCGTGTGCTGCGAGCCTCAGCCTCCCTCCTGTCCCAGTGCGAGATGAACCTCATGGCCAAGCTCAGCTACCTCTCATCCTCAGAGACCAGAGCCCTGCTCTGCAAGTATTTCGACAAGGTTGGCACACATCTCTGCCTCTGCCTTCTGAGGCTCCATCAGGCAGGAGTATTTTCCTCCCAGAAGGGCTTTTTAGGGCCATCTTTGTCCTGCCTGGCTCAGCTCTCGGGAGCAGATGCTACATAAGACCCAGTCTCTTCCTGTTTCTGCCTGATCGCAATCTTTAGGATGGCCTTTGCCCACAGCAGTAGTTCTTGGGGATGGTTTTGCCTCTAGGGGTATGTGGAGAGCTACTTCTGGTTATCATGGCAGGGGTAGGGGCAGAGGTTCCATTAAACGTCCTTCAGCACACAGCACAGGCACCATATATAGGACTAGCTCTGGTCATTTGGAACCCACTCCCTAGAGCACAGTAAAGAAGACGTCTGAGGCAGGAGAGGCCCCAGTGATTTCTCGTGATGCGTTTGGCCCATGCTTGCTTCCCCAGCTGAGGGTTTCGTGGGGGCAGTTTGGGGTGGCAGGCTGAGCCTGCTGGCCTTGGCACAGGTAGTGACACTCCGGGAGGAGCAGCACCAGCAGCAGATCGCCTTCTCGGAGCTGGAGATGCAGCTGGAGGAGCAGCAGAGGCTGGTGTACTGGCTGGAGGTGGCCCTTGAACGGCAGCGCCTGGAGATGGACCGCCAGCTTACCAGGCAGCAGAAGGAGCACGAGCAGAGCGTGCAGCTGCTCCTCCAGCAGGGCCGAGGTAAGCACTGGGCTGGCTGGGCCAGGTGGCTGCCACCCGCCTGCCTGCAGCCACTCACTACTCCCCTCCCTCTCCATGCCAGACCACCTGGGTGAGGGCTTCACAGACAGCAGGCGGCAATATGAGGCTCGGATCCAGGCTCTGGAGAAGGAACTGGGCCGCCACATGTGGCTTAACCAGGAGCTGAAGCAGAGGCTGAGTGCGGGGAGTGCCACAGGCCAGAGCAGGGGTAACACTGCCCTTACCATCCGGTCCTGCCCTGCTGCTGGGTGGGGGGACACCAGGGTTTGAGGGGAGCACTTAAGGACCCCCCCTTACTTGTTCATTTGGCATGGGAAGCTAGGCTTTGGGACAGTTGCTACCTCTGTTTCTGACAAGGGCGTGCTGTTCTTGGTGTCAGGTGGGGAAAGGAGGAGCCTCGGCCTGGACAACAGACAGGGCCCTGGACATGACGAGGGGCTGCAGCCCACCGCGTCAGAGCTTCTCTGGCAGCCACTGCTCCCCGATGGTGCCCCCCGTGCCCGGGAGGAGATGCGTGACTTGGTCCATGCTCCATTACCACTGACATGGAAGCGCTCAAGCCTGTTCGGGGAGGAGCAGTGCTCCCCTGAGGAGCTGAGGCCACGGGAGGCAGCTGAGTCCCTGGGGGGACGTGTGCTACCTGTGGGTGAGGCCACCCTGTCTTGGAACTTTGGACCCCTGGCCAAGCCGCGGTGGGAGCCACGAAGGGCCAGCCCAGGGATGATCGATGTCCGGAAAAACCCCCTGTAGGCCAGTGGGCCAGGTCCCGCCTTGGAGGGCAATTCGTGACCTGCTGAAAAGTGCCTGGCTTCATTCTGTGAAGGTGCCCTTGCCTTACACTTAAAGCTGGGTCCTTACCTCCATCCACTGGCATCTGCTAATTTGGGTCCTAGCCCCAAAGAGGACTTATTTTTTTCTGCAGTGCTGGGAGTAAAACCAGGCCCCTGTGTGTGCCAAGTATGTGCTCTACCCAAGCTACACCCTAGCCCTCGTTTTTAAAAAATATGCACGTTCCTGCCACCCTCCTTTAGGCCGCGGGTCTGATTGCCAGCTTCCAAACTGCTCACGTTTCAGGACAATTGATTTCAAGCCTTAGCCATGTGCTTGAAATTCCCTTAGGATGGTCAGCAGCACGGGACTGTGGGTTAAATGGGCTCCTGTAGACGGGGGAGTTAGGGAATTTTTTAGTCTGTTTTTAGAATTTTTTAAAGCCATTCTATAATAAACAGGAAAAGTAAGAGTTCGGCTTTAAATGTTACTGATGTGTTGAAGGCTTGGTCCTTTGCTGGTGGTGCTGTTGGGGACCTTTAGGAAGTGGCTGTTGGGGGTTGCAGTCTCTCCTAAAAGGGAGACTGGGATCCAAATTCCTTGTCCCTTTGCTTCCAAGCCCCAGAAAAGAGATAACTCACTGTGGACTGAAACAGCTAAAATAGACCTTTTACTTCTAAGTTATTTTAGGTATTTGTCACAGGGACAGAAAGCTAGCATAGAAAACTGGTACTGGCAATGCAGTCATGTTACCAAATCTGCAGGTTCTCTTCTTACTTGGTAACTGCAAATAATAGTTGTAGGAGTGGGCAGGACACTTAATTGAATGGGCAATGAATGAGTGGAGGAGTTCCTGCTCTACAGGTACCTTCTCCCCAGGCAGGTCTGGGTTATTGGGGGATTTGGTGTGCGTGTTGTCATCAGAGCTTTTCACAGCAAGGGGAGACTTGAGGAGCCAGGGTACCGCCCTTCTTTTCCCAAATGAGGGTAGAATTGGGTCTGTCCTGGTGCCAGTGGGTGTTTATAGCGAGTCCAAAGTGGGCTGGTGCGAGTGTGGCATCAGACCAGATGGAGTCTGCCGGGAGCGCCCCCTGTGGTGAGTGGGAGGATGTGCAGCTTGTGGGTGGTTGATGGGATCACCTGGTTATTGGCTAACAGGAATTTTGGGGTTCAGTCTGGTGACAGTGACCTGGTATGGACCTGATAGTACGATTCAGCAGCCTTTGGTACTGGCTTACAAATTAGAAAAGTCTGAAAAGCCAGGCGCCTCAAACATTGTGAGCACAGTGGGCAATTCCAGAGGGCACTCAGACCACTGCGGAAAGGAGTGGGCGGGCAAGGCTGTCCAGGTGAGGCTTTGGGTGGAAGCCAGGCCGCTACTGAGAACTAGACAGGAGAACACAACGGCCCCAAACGACTTGTCTACATTCTGGCCAGGTCCTGAGATTCTTTTGGGAGGCTGAGCTGAAAGGTGATGGGCCAGTAATCCTAGCAGAGATTTCAGGGCCGTGCAGCTGCAAGGGGTATGCTGCTGACTGCCTTTACCCAGATCAACAATGAGAATCAGGAGTAAAAGCTTGCTTGTTGGCCTTTTAATTAAGATCAGTTGTAGGAGTTAAAAACAGACTGAGACTTGAAAAACAGAGTGGCCAGAAAAGGAACATAGTTCAAGTTATAGCCAATGAGTTCATGGTTGCTAGAAATTCATGCTATTAAAAAGCAAAAAAAAAAAAAAAAAAAAAAAAAAAAGCCAAGTAGGCAGGTGGCCCATGGTGTCAGCAATTTTTTTTCTTTTCTGAACTTGCAATGATCCTTCTGCCTCAGCCTCCCCCAAGTGCTGGAAGTACAGACATGCATCACCATGCACAGCCTGTTAATTTTCACAGGGCCTGAAGGTTAGCTGAGTTTGCCTGAAGTCTTGGAGAAGATAGGAGCTGGACACTTGAGCAGTGTTATGGATGGACAGATCTTGCACTGGCAATGGACATGAGCCTTAGGGGTCAAGAGGAATCTTGAATGGCTGCTTGGATGCTCACGTGTTGAGGCTTGATCCTCAGGTCATGGTTCTGTGGGAAGGTGGTGTGGCCTATGGAAATGTTAGGTCACTGGGGATGGGCTTTAAGGGACCCTGCTCCCCACTTCCTGGGCCATGAGATGCTCAGTTTTACTCTGTGGTGCCACCCATGGTGAGGCCTCAGCACAGGCCCCTAAACAATGCACTGAGCGTGGGGTGCAGCCTCTGAAACCACGAGCACAAATCCAGCCTTCTGCCCTTTGACCCAGGTCTCTGTCACAGCAGAGGGGAGCTCACCTCTGCAGGCAGCTGGGGGTTTTCATTTGGAATCAGATTATAAGCCAGTAGGAAGAATCTAATCTGGGACCACAACAGGCTTGAGTGCTTTGAGACCGTAAGATCTTGCTGTTCGAGGATGAAGCCACCTAGTGGTGCCAGGCGATGGTCTCCCTAGGAAGAGGGTGGCCTGTGGCATAAGCTGGCTGGTCTCAGGGCAGGCCTCGGAATGTGGCTGCTCTTGGGAACTGCTAGAGCTGAACCAGTCAGGAGGGAACATTAACAGAAAAGCACCAAAGGCCAAGCAGCCAGAAATGATTTCACCGCCACGCAGGGTATGTGAACATTTATCCCACTGCCTGCCACGGCAGTTTGTGCACAGGGCTTCACAGTTTACAAAGTACTTGTGTCACAGCACCCCAGCCTTACAGCAGCTTCATGGAGACCCATAGAGGGGCTCCTGTCTCCATGTTCACAAGCAAGGCGTGGCCTCCTGACTTGTGTTTGGGGTGTCACTGGAATGGGATCCCATCTTACCCAGAACCTTGCTTAGTTTCTCGACTGCTGGGTCACCTGAGTAATAACAGCAGCCACACTGCTACCCACCTCCCCTTCCCCAGCCGGGCAGGGATGGTCCTGAGGCAGGTTACAGAGAGAGGTGCTGCTGGGCAGTGGGAGTCCCTGAGAGGAACAGGAAGACTGAGGGCCACTCTAGTGCGAACTGCAAGCTGACCCTGGGAAAGAGGCTTGGGATCAGGTCTCCAATTCCTTGAGGTCCATGGTGACCATGCTGACTTCAGCTTCATTTTCTGAAGGATCTTGGCCCCTTTGGCTGCAGTTAACCCTGTCCTGAGTCCCCAGCTGGGACGCCTGAGTGGTACAAGTGAGGGACAGCTACCACCCTCACAGCACCTCTGCCCAGCCCAGCAGTGCTGCTTACGGTCAGTCCTCCAGCGGGTCCGGGCCTAACTAGCTAATGAGCTTCTTCCGTGTGTAAGTCCTGCTGAAGGGGCGCCTCCGGGAGAAGATTGGGCTGAACGTGGGCGCTTCTGTAGTGGAGGGAAAGCCATCCGCACTCTCATCTAGAAAAAGGCAGAGACGTGACTGAAGACTGAAAGAAGGAGCCTGGCTCTAGCTGCAGGAGCTCCACACGGAGATGGGCTCAGGACAGCCACACTGCAGGGAGGACTGTCTCATCCTGTAGAGGTAACTCCACTTGTTACAAGGCCCCCTTTCATGGTTATGCACAGGGCTGACAGCAAGAAGCCGCTGTGGAAATGGGAGGACTTGCAGTCTTGGATCTGAGGGATTTACACTATTTCACATGACTTACATCCCTGTCTCGCAGCACGGGCATAAATCTGCTGGCAGGCACGGCAGGCTGAGCACACCTGTCGGGCCACCAGTGCTTTCCTGTTCAGATTGTTTTTTGTACCAGGAATCAAACAACCTTGCACTTGACAGGCAGGCACTGTGCCACTGAGCTGTGTCCCCAGCTCTCTTGTTCGGATTCTAAGACTACAAATGAGCAGTGTGTACCAGTGGGCCAGCGCCTGTCACCATCTTCAAGAAGACTTGAGTGCTGTGGCAGGATTTTGGTAGGGGTGAGGGGTTCTTTGGGGGCACATATGTTTTACTGTGGAGTTGCCCTGGGAAGGGACTAATAGACACAAATCGTGTACCCCACCCTTGGCATCCTCATGGTTCCCACAAAGCTAAGGTTCCCCGGGCCTGGAGACTTCTGTGGATCTTACCTGTGGGGTCCGAGCACTGCGAGGATGCTGCCTTCCCGGGGAGCAGCAGCGGAGACTGGGTGAGAGCCTGGAGCCCGCTGGCTGAGAGGCAGCTCCGCACAGCACAGCCACGAGGCGGGGTGCAACCTAGGGAGGGCCAGCCGTCAGTGCACCCCATGGCCCCCCAAGTTCCAAATTCCTCCACGTTGAGGCTGCCCAGTAGAAACCACAGACTCACCAGAAGCAAACACCTCGTCATCCCCAGTGGAGGGGAGCTGCAGCACAGTCCGCCTTGGCCCCCCATTTTCATGCTTCCTCTCATCTGCATCTTCCCGCGGGGCTTCACAAACTCTTTTGGCTCCACACTCAGCTTCCTCCTTGGGAGACCAATGTCTCTTCCTGGAACCCAGCCCAAACTGTCCCCATGAGGCTTCCTCAGCCTTGGGGACACTGTCCCCAGGAGGTGACTGGTCTGGGAGCTGACATACTCCCTCGAGCTCAAAGTCCTCTGAGACTGGGGTCTTGTGGAGGCCAAGTTCGAGGGCCAGCTCCCTGGCCTGGGGCTCAGGCAGTGACAAGGCCCCGAGAGGGTCTGTGCCCACCTCGCCTCGGCCCGAGAGCCCACTGCTGCAGTCCACCGCCCTCTTCCTCCGGGGCCAGTCTTTAATGGAGTCGGGAGTGGTCTTCCCATTGTGCTTGGGGGATGGTGTCCAGGGAACCCCACCATCTGTCTGAAACGGAGAGGGGGTACTGGGTGGGCAGGGGGTTGGAGTGTAGGTCTGGCAGATGTAGGTCTGTCCCTTGCCAGGTGTGCTGTGTGAGGAGCGGAGACAAGACGGTGATGTGTAGGTAGCCTCGGGCTTGCTGGTGGCCCTGCTGGCCCTGGGCATGCCGAGAGCAGGGAGGGAGGCCTCCTCTCCTACAGGACTCCCCTTTCCTGGGGCCTCGGCTTCAGCCAGTGCACTAGAGTCTACCTTCTTAATCCGAAGCTTGGGCAGGCCAGAGGCCTGCATCTCCAGCTCTACCTCATAGGTCTGTAGGCTGGCGGGCGCCTTCGGAGGCCTCACGGGAGCTCTCAGGCTCTCTGGTCCTGCCGCACCCGGGCACTGCCATCTGTCTGGAGGGCAGTGCAGGGTGTAGGACACCATCTCGGGAGACTCAGGCCCAGAGCCAGGAGCAGGGGGCGAAGTCCTGGCATCAGGCATGCTGCGTGGCTCCCATGCATCATCGTCCTCTGCTGACCTCAGTGTCACACCTTCACCCCCTGTCACTGCACGGCTACCACCACCCTGGGGTTCGGCTTCCTCGAGAAGAGTGAGGTGGCCTGTGTCACTCGAAAGAAGCAGAGGGGAGGATCTGAGCCAGTCATTGTCGACACCAGGGCTTAGGTGTCTCTGTCCTTCAGGGGAGGAAGGTGGAGAAAGTCTCCCTCCCTTCTGGTCCCTTCTAGAACTGGTGGTAGCAGCTGGCCCGGTGGCTGTGGCAACCCCGAGTGCAGCAGAGGGTCCAGGTGGGCACTCCTCAGAGCCTTGTTTGGGGTCTGAGGTCTTTCTATACCGTCTCCCAAGTTTAGATGGCGGTGGAGGGGGAATGGTGACAGACAGGACACTCTGTGGTACTGTGGGGGGAGTTGAGGGACCAGCACAAGAGGGACATGTGGCCCTGCTCGGTGACGCCTGATCTTTCTGATCCAGGTCTCTGGGGCCAGGGGACACTGTTGAGGGCTTCCTTAGTGGGCTCTTAGAGACATCCCACCTCTCTGGAGCAGCCGGTGGGGAGGAAGTCACAGTTATGTCCCCAGGTCCCCTGGAGGTTCGGACCACTTCATCCATTAGTGTCTGTGATGGTTCTTCTGCCTGAGAGCCTCCAGGGAGAAGGAGCTGCTGGCACTTTGGCCCCTGAGATGGGCCCAGGAGGGCTGCTGCCCTTGGCGGTGTCCTGAGGCAGTGCCTGATGGGGGTCACACACTCACTCCAGGGCTGGGCAGCCGAGGGAGCTGGGGATGCTGTGTGGTAGGGACTGTCCGGACTGGAATTCACCACACGTGGCCAAGCACAGTTCAGCAAGAAGCCAGGTGGTTGAGCATCCGGCCCGGTGGGTGTTCTCGGGGTCCCTGTGACAAGAGGAGAGGCCGCTTCTTCTGGGGAGGGTCCTTCCTGTGGTGTGGCTCTTGATGCCGATGGTGAGCAGCAGTTGGGTGAGGAGGCGTCCTGTGGGGCCTTCCCAGCCATGGCAGGCTCCGCAGGGGTCACGTCCACAGTGGGGTGCAGAGGCCTTTCTGGAGTACAGGGTGGGATCTGTGGTGTTCTTGGGAACCTTCTTGGTGTTGTCTTAGGAAAGCTCGGAGATTTCTGACAAGTCTTCTTAGGAGTCTGTAAAGAAAAGTGCTCATGTTGGTGCTTGAAACAGTATCACTCATATTTTCTAAAAAGTGTTTTCAAGGCTCTAAGAGGATTAGAGAAGCACAGTAGACATTTAAAATCAGCAGCAGGGTCCTGAGTTGGAAATGTTATATAGCAACCTGTCATCCTCTCCAGAATCTGACTCAGATTTTACTTGTCCACCTTTTATAGGGCCAAGCACTGTATCCACTCTTTGAAGAACAGTTTTTGGGTACCAGGATCGATCTCACAACCTCATGACCTCACACTTGCCAGGCAGGCACTTACACCGCTTAACTAAATCCCTAGCCCCTGAAGAGTAGTTTTAATAGCACACAAGAGCTCCCCATGCCTGCCTGTAACTGTATCACTCCAGCACTCTCAGCTCCTGGCCAGCTCTCCTCAAACAAAGCAGCCACTGGAACCACTCAGCTGCTCTCAGCTCCATCCAGCCTGGGTGTGCTACACACCTACCATGTGTAGGTACCGTGGGGTGGCCACAGCCCACAATGTTGCCCACCAAAATACCCTTCCCTCTCACAAACGACAGGGAAATTCCCCACAGCTGAGGTCAAACACCATTGTGCTAGCCTTACTGGATCATCCCAAGGGAATCAGTCTGGCTGGCATCTCGTGTTCGGCGGGGTATAGACAGGTGAGACTAGTGTGGCCATTGCAGTGACAGGCAGGGAAGGGCTGGGCTGTGTAACTCACTAGGGGCTGGGGAAGAAGTGCTAGTGGGTTGGGTGTTCAAGAACGGGTATCAGCGGGGGAAGGCACAGAACGGGTATCAGCGGGGGAAGGCACAGAACGGGAGGATGGGGCAAAGGGGACTTTAGACACAGATCGCAGAGTCACAGAGGCATGGATGTGGAAAGGAGTAGCTCTGTGTGGGATGGTGCACTGCTGCAGTTGCCAAGGAGGACTGCCAGGCAGGGAGGGCTGAGGCTGGTCAGGTAGGCAGGGGTCAAATCATGGAGGGCCTTGCCTGCCCAGGGCACAAGACTGACCCTGGTCATGTAATCCGTGGGCTTTTCCCCAGAGCTCTGTGTGTTTTCCTACCCAGGACACAGTTTATATTTCTATTTATTTATTTTGGTACTGGGGATCGAACTCACGATCTTGCATTTACCAGACAAGCACTTGAACTAAATCTGTGGCCCAGGATACAGTTTAAATGGGTTTCTAAACAAAATGATTATTTTTGAACACAAGGCTTAGGAAACGTTAGAAACTTGGCTTTAGCAGGTAAGGAGTTTAAAGAACCTTAAGCAAAGTAAAATCAGATGAATATATCACAAAGATTATTTCGTCCTCTGGGTGACCAGTGGATTTGGGAGGGAAAAGGCTCTTGAAATGTTCCAGGCGGAACTAAACGAGGGGAGTTTTGGCGATGGAAGAGAGCCGTGGGTGAGAACCAATTTGTCATAACGCAAGCAGGACTGGAGTAAAGAGCCGCGGCCCAGGAGAGAGGGAAGTCACAGGTTTCTAATGCAGGTGCCAGACAGAGGGGCAATCAAATGGGAACAGAGCCTGAGGACTGGTACACTCTGCAGAAAGGCATGCACTAGTGCAGAACACAGCTAACGTCAAAAGAACACCCCTTCTCCTTCTGCACCACTGTGGCCGCAGTCAGACATGTTTGAATTCTTGTGTGTTCAATAACACGTGGCTAAACCCAACCATCCCAAATTTCTGTTATCTACAGTGGCTGCTTTCTCTCTGGTCACCTCTGGGTTTCTTGGCCACCTCTGTTCCCAAGACTGTACCCAAGACTGTACCTTTCGATCATTTAGGAGACTGTATACCTGGAAAGCTGGAGGTGTCTCAGAGCTCAGCTTGCTTCTTGACAGTCTTTTAATTTGGGCCGAACTCTTCTCTGAGGGGCTGACCACCTCAGACACTGCCCCAAAAAGAAGACTCTTGGGAGACCGAATACTTTGTATTGGAGAATTTTCTCGTTGGTCTGCAAGTCAAAGATAGCGACAATGTTTAATTATTTCTCAACCGCAGTCCTCTCAACATGTATGAAAAATAGCCAGTTTGTATAAAACTTTTTAGAGGGAAAATGATTAGGTGGGGGAATATTCCTAATTATGTCCGCCATCGCAATGGTTGCTGCCTTCTTAAATTTTAAATAAGGCTACAAATTAGCCCCATGTCCTATGTTAGGAAATGTGGGCAAATGGAGTAATCTGTAAGTATAAACATAAAAAACACCTGTTAGCCAAGATAATGACAGATAAAAGAAGAACAGCATACAAATAAGTGTGACCTTTTATCCTGGGATATTTGTGCAGAAGGTCTGGCTGCATGGTGGGAACTGTGGATAATTTCTTGCTGAAAAAAATGAACTACTTATAATAATAGTTGTAGGACTCAGAGGGATGACTGATTACAGAGGCCAAGGACTGTTCGTAACTTTCATTGTACATACACATTCTCCCTCTCCAAAATCAAGAAGGAAAATGTCAGATTGCAAAAATACTCCCACCAAGTCAGCGTGGACTTGTGACAAGACATGGGTCCCCATTACCTGACTTGTTCTGCTGCAATGAATGGACTCTCTGCACACTTCGAGACTTTGGCTGAGACACAGAATAGAAGGAACCAGAATGTTTTCTGCTAAATGATAACTGCTTGATTCGAGGACTTCGTCTCAAACCTATTTCTGCAAAATGAGAACCAGTTAGTAACCAGGGAGGATTACAGTCTTGACATCTCATGTTGTTTAAAACAGGCAAGATTTATACCCCAGGTAAGATGGAAACCCGACAACAGCTTTCGACATTTGTGAAGTGTCTCTTAGGAAGTTAAAGAAGGACCTGAGCATGGTGGCAGAGTGGTCTGAGAACTGAGGCAGAAGGATCCCAAGTTTGAGTTCAGCCTGGGAAACTCAGTGAGATCCTGTCTCAAAATAAGGAAGGGCGAGGGAGGTAGCTGAGTGCAAACCAGGGATGAGACCTGGGTTCAAGCGAGAGAAAAAAAGTGAAGCTAAGAGGGGTTTGACACATGGTCTCAACAGGCTATTTAAAAACTCACTGAGGTAATCCCGGCACTCAGGAGGCCGAGGCTGGAGGGTTGCCACGAGTTCAAGGCCAGCCTGGGCTACATAGTGAGTTCAGAGGCCAGCCTGGTCAACATGGTGAGATCTTGCCTCAGACAAGAACCAAAAAAAAAAAAAAAAAAAAAACCCAAACAAAAAGGCAAAAAAAAACCCTCACAAAAGAAACCCACTGACACAGAGTGAAAAAAAGATGTATCCTGTGTCATACATGAAGGCAGCAGCCTGTGGGACTCCTGAAGGTCACAGTCTACCCAGGTTTCAAATGAGCATAATACATGTATTTGCAAAGAAGCAGTACTGGTAAGATTATATGCTAACATGTTAACAGAGTGTTTCTGAGTATGTGGAATTATCAGATACTTAAAAATTTTGTCTTCTCTATATATTTTGTAAATTTTCTTTAACAAACGGGAGTTATTTGAGCAATTAAATAAAGAAGTTAAGCCTTTGAAAACCTTTCCTCTTGTCATGTACATATAAAACAAGTTTTTGGTTTTTGAGACCTTACTTAGAGACCTTGAAACTTACTATGTACCCCTGTCTGGCCTTGAACTTGTAATCCTTTTGCCTCGGTCTCCCAAGTGCTGGGAAAATAGGCACATGATTCCATACCTGGCTCTGTCATTTTGAAATAAACCACAGTATTTTGTGTAACATGGATGTCTATAACCCTCTCACTGAACTACATTTTTATTATGCAAAAATATTTCTTTCCCAAAATTCTCTTCGTAAATTCTATACAAAAGAATGTACAGTGACTGAGCTCCACCATGGACCCGGAGTCATCAGAACTTCTGTAAACTATCTGAGCATACACAGTGACAGTACAAGCACAGACGGCTCTCATAGAAGCCAGGCACAAGACAAAACATAGTGGCTGACACTCACCATTTTCTCCTTTTTCAGGGGATTCTTCAACAACATCGATGTCAGGACCGGGATCAGAGGACCTTAAGGAACAACCAGCAAGTACTCAGTATTACTCAGAACCAGCACACATTAAAGCCAGAGACAGCTTCTCATCTCACAAGGCAATAAAGACCACAGAGTCCAATAAAATTAGCGTTGGTAAGTTTTCTCATACACTATTATATTATTATTGATTAATTATATAGTTATTTATTTTTGAGATAAGAGTTTCACTACATAGTTCACCCTTGCCTTGAACTCACTATGTAGTGTAGGCTAGGTTCAAATTCAGCAGTCTTCCTTCCAAGTACTAGGGTTACAGGCATGCAGCACCCATGCCCACCTTATTGTTTGTTTATATATTTTGGTCCTGAGGATTGAACTCAGGGCTTTGTGCAGCCCCATATATGATTACTATTAAGGGTGAGATGGTTAGAATGCTTCTGTCACAAAACAATTCTACAACTTCAAAAATAACCTTACATTAATACCACTAATTCCATAATGTATTAAAAATTAAACACTTAAATTTTAAAAGTTTTAATTTCTGGCAGTTTGCCAAGGACTTCTGACCTACCTACTTCATTTCTCACAATTTATCCTACAAATTTTCTTTTTTTTTGTCTTTTTGAGACAGGGTCTCACTATATAGTTCAGGCTGGTCTTGAGCTCACTTTGTAGCTCAGGCTGGTCTTGAACTCACAATGATCCTCCTGCCTCAGCCTCCTGAGTGCTGGGATTACAGGCATGTGCCACTGAGCTCTACAAATTTTCTAAGTATAAAATTTATATGTAGATGATGCCCAGAGGAAGCTGTGACAAGATGAAGCTAATGTATTTTTCTGTATCCCCTTAAAAGGGCAGTTAAAATCCTGTACGTGCTCTCTGTTAAAAACAAGCAGAAGACGATTCTATTCTGAAAGGTGGAGAGGAGGCAGCCTGGCTCAGACCCTGCAACCCCAGGAGAGAAGGGCAGTGGGCCTGCCTGAGTTTTCTTTCTGCTGCATGCATCCTGGTGGTACTAGTGGAGTTGACAACATAAATGTGTCACAGGAACAGACTAAAAACATCCCAGGAAAGCCAGGTCTCCAAGGCCAAAGAACCAGAGCAGCCAATCAAAACCAAACATTTGCAAGAGCAAATCCTTGCTTTAACCAGCATCCAGGGGAAAAAAGCACAGCCTCAGCTGGCTGGTCTGAGGACACACCTTTCCTCATGTGAGTAGGTACCTGTGTTTAAAAACTGTGGGGAACTCATTCAGTGGAATACCACTCAGCAATTAAAGAGGTCAAACTACTGATTCAAGCAACACGCATAAATTCAAAATAATTACACCAAGTGAAAGGGGCTAGATAAGAACATGTCCCGCCTGATTCTCCTGCCTTCAGAATCTAGGGGATGTTCTGTGATGAAGCACCATGGTGAAGATCTAAGTCACAAGGGTAAACAGCAGGCAAATAATGGTCCTGGAGATCATGAATGTGCTGGGCCTAGGATGAGGACGCCACTCACCTGCCCCTGATTTGTCTGTGAAGGAGCCTCCGTGAGATCTGCTTATGGACTGGAGTCTCAGCCACACTCTTAGTCAGTAGCTTGTGATAACCTAAAATTGCATAAAAACAGCTTCAAATATACACGTCATTTAACCTTCTCAAGTAGTAGCTGGAGGTCTCTTAATCACAGAGTCATGCTCACAGTACTTAGAACAGTTGATCAGCACTGTTAGAGATTCAGTGATGACATAAGCCAATGCAAAATGTTACAAAGTCATTTCTCTAATAAGCACCCTGAAAAAAATGAAAACTCCTCATTAGTTGATTCTGGAACTGAATATTAAATGAAATAAAATATACAAAAATGATGATAAGTTACACAAGTGTTATTAAAATAAATCTACCTGAGGGGCTGGGGTTATAGCTCAGTGGCACAGTGCTTACCTGACAAGTGCGAGGTCATGGGTTCAATCCCTAGCATGGGAGGACGCTTCAGAGTGAGTTAAATGACCAGAAAGAGGAGTGAGGTCAGCAGGGACAGTGGAATGAGGACCTCAGAGAACAGGAATGACCTCCATAAAAGGAACAAAAATACCAAGCAAACATGGAAAATCAGTCTTTTCAAGATTCTGGAGGTAAGTTATAAGTCTCCAATAATCTAGGGAGCATTTATTCAAGAAAAATAGCTGGATCTTAGTTAAGTACAGGGACCTTTGCAGAACTGTAAGCCTCTGCAGCCCAGGGGTCACTCTGAAAACCAGCAGCCTCAAGATCTGACAGAAGAGCCCAGAGCTCCTGCAAGGTCCTGCTCCAGGTGACTGGCATCACCTGACCTGCCTGGCAGTTCCATGGGAAATCCCGTTCCCAAAGCTCAGCTCTAAGTGGCAAGACTTGGAACTGCCCAGTGCAAAACATACCTTTTCCCCAGGAAATTTACTAAAATCGCAGGCATCAAAGTTGCCTGAAGTGGTGATAATCTGGGAGAGAAGTTTTATACCTAACAACTATTCAGAAATGAAGAAGGGGTAGCATATTTCCATCTTAAAACAAAACGGAACAGATTGTGTCATTAGCAGACCTGCCTTAGTGCCTTAGTGCCTGCAGGCAGCCTTTCAGGTAACAGGAAAGGGGGTCAGAGTAGCTTAAGCCACATGGAGAATTAAACACTGTAAAGCAACTATGTAAGTAAGTATAAAAGATTCTATGAAAGTATTTTTTTTTTTTTTTTGTCTTTTTATCGGTACTGGGGATCGAACTCACGATTGCCTGCTTGCAAGGCAGGCGCTTGTGCCGCTGAGCTAAATCCCCAGCCCAAAAGTATTTACAGCTCTTTTTTGTCCTCAGATTTAAGAAATCATAGACATTGGAATTACTAGTCAAAAATATTAATTGGCTTTTTAAAAATATATTCTAAGAATTTATGAAACTATGGGAAAATAATTGTAAAAAAATCAGGACAATAATGTATTTACAAAACAAGCATATTAATAATACATTAGAATTACACAAGGGCTGAGCACTGTGACCTATGCCTTTAATCTCACAGCTTGGGAGGTTGAGGCAGGAGAATTGCTGTGAGTTCAAGGACAGCCTAAACTACATGGCGAGATCCTGTTTCAAAAAAGAATCATAAAGGGAACCAAACAGAAATTCGGGAGCTAAAAAGTATGATAGCTTTTTGTTTTCAAGGGCTGAGGATCAAACCCAGGTCTTTCCACATGCTAAATGCACACTACACTGAGCTATATAACCTGAGCCCTAAAGGTACGGTACGGTAACTGAGTCAAAAATTCACTGGAGGAATTTAATCTCAAATATGAACAGACAGAAGAATCAGTGAACTCGAAAATAAGGCAGTCAGTAATTATGCAGTGTGACCAGAACAAAAAAGGAACAGAGAAAAAGGAACAAACCGCGAGGGACGTGTGGACACCACCAAGCCTACCGCTTGCACAGCAGGGGGTCCCAGAAGGAGACTCAAAGTGACAGAAAAACTTTTTGAAGAAATGATTGGAAACCTCCTGAGTCTGATGAAAGACATTACACATCAAAGAGGTTAAAGGGAGTTCCAAGCAGTATAACTTAAAGTAGTGCACAGAAGTTATTACAGTCAAATTATCATAATCCAAAAAATGAAGAGTATCTTGAAAGCAACAGAAAGCAGTGGATGACATCTTTCAAGCTGTGAAAGGAAAAAGGTAGTCAGTAAGAATTATATACCTTTCAAGAGTAAAAGAGAAGCTGGGCATGATGGTGCATGCATATGATCCCAGCATTCAGGAGGCGAGGCAGGAGGATTGCTGCAAGTTCGAAAGCAGCCTGGCTACCACGTGAGTTCAAGGCCAGCCTGAACTGCATAGTGAGATACTATCTCAAAAAAAGACAAAACAAATAAATAAACAAACAAGAATAAAATAGAAATACTAGCACTTGGCTAGGCCGAGGCAGGAGGATGGCCACCAAGTTCAATACCAGCCTGGACTACAAAGTAAGCTAAAGACCAGCCTGAACAGCACAGTGAAGCCCTGTCTCAGAAAGATTAAAAAAAAAAAAAAAAGAAGAAGAAGAAAAGAAGACATTCCAACATCAAGGAAAGCCGAAGGAGTTCAGTCAGAGGAAAGCTGGGGTAATGCTTCAGGCTTTAATGAAAGGCCCTCAGACAGACATGAAGAGAAATAAAGGACCTGTAAACTAACTCACAGGGTATTATAGAAGCAGCAGTATTATGGCACTTTTGATTTAACTGCTCACTTTTTCCTTTATGATTTAAAAGGCAAAAGCATAAAGCAATAATTATAAACCTGTATTTTTTGTTTGTTTTTGCTACCAGGGATCAAACTCACAGCCTTGTACTTGTCAGGTCGGCATTTGTACTGCTGAGCTAAATCCCCAGGCCTTATAAACCTAATGATGGCCACAAAATGTGTAAGGGTGTAATCTGTGACATAACAATGTAAAAAGGAAAGAGAAAGAAATATATATTAACAAAATATTTGGGTACCGGTGAAAATCATTTAGTTTTATCCAAACTAGATTGTTTCAAGTTTAAGAGGTTGTTACCGCCAACCACTAAGATGGTTATTGTAAAATACACAAAAAATGGAGTCAAAATGGTACCCTACAAAAAATTAGGCGATAATAACATAAAGGGGAGTAGTAGAAGAAATAAGGAAAAAAAATCCATAAATACATAGAAAGATATAAAGATAGTAGAAGTGATCCCTTATTAATAACTAAGTTAAATTATAAAAGGCTTAAATACTGCAATGAGAAAGCAAAAATTGGGGAAAGGATTAAGAAAACATGATCCAGGTATATGCTGTCCACTGGAGTCTCAATTTAGATACAAAAACAAAAAGGTTAAGGATAATAAAAGATATACTATGCAAGAACTGGATGGCTACATTATTGTCACACAAAACAGATTTTAAGCCAAAAAAAGATTATAAAAGATAAAAAGGTCACATACTAATAAAAAGTTTAATTCATCAGAATATAACAATTAAAAACATACGTACTCACTTAACAGTGAAATTCCAAAATACATAAAGGAAAAACTGGCGGAACTGAAGGGATAGATAATTTAACCATAATAGTTGGAGACTTTAATATTGCACTTTCAGCAACTAAACAGAAGATCAACAAGTAAACAGATGACTTAACAACACTAAAGGCAACTAGATGTGTGTGTACACAACACTTCACCCGACAAGACCAGAACGTATATTCTCAAGCACACGTGGAACACTCTCTAGGACAATCTAAGTTATTAGGCCAGAAAAGACATTTCGATCCATTTCTTTCCTTACAGCACCCTGGTAGAACAAACCCAGGGTCTGGTGCACGTTAGGCACGTGCTCTCCGGTAAGCTGCACCCCTAGCCCAAATCTCAATTTAAAAAGATTGAAGTCATACTATATTCTTCAATGTCAATGGAATGAAATTAGAAATCAACAGAAGGAACTGGGAAACTTACAAATGTATAGACATTAAGAGACATAAATAAGCAGTGGGTCAAAGAAGAAACCACAAGGAACTTACGATGACCATGGAAACACAGCGTCCCCAAACTTAGGGGTTGCAGCTACGGAGTGCTTAGAATGGAACTTACAGCTGTAAATGCCTGCATTACCTGGCACCTTTACGAAAAATAACAGAGGGAAGGAAATAAATGAAGGTGAGACTAGAAAAATAGTAAAGAAAAGCTCAAATTTCTTAAAGAAATCAACTTTTCCTTAGTGAGATTGCCAAAAAAAAAAAAAAAGGGACAACTAACTCAGGAATTAAAGATGGGACCCCACCACCAGGAAAGCTGTTCCCAAAAAAACCGCTCTCTTTTCCATTACCCTGAAATGTAGTACCTTTGGTCTTCTTGAAGTTGTCATGTTTGTGGTCCAGATCTTCCAAGGCAGATACAGAATGACTTCTAGGCAGGCCCCGCTTTAGGGATCTCTTTGAAGGAGAAATCATTTCCTGGTTGAAAAGATTTCTTCGAACTTTGGTCACTTCTGAAAACATGGAGTAGGAGTTAGAGGGCAAAAAGAAAAGGTCAAATATTATATTCAGTAAAACAGAGGACCTCTTATCCAGCCAGAGAAGCTGCTTAAACAAACTACAGCCAATTGCTATGCAGTGTATTCACATTTACTAAAAAGATTTCCTCTAAATCCTGTACACTGGGAGGATTAAGTAGGAAGTTCACAAGTTCCAGCCTGGGCAACTTTGAGACTCTGTCACAAAATAAAATAAATTAATTAATAAATAAAGAGGGCTGGGAATGTAGCTCATTGCGAAGGCCTTGAGCTCAACCTCCAATATCTAAAATAAACATCCTTAGCTGGGCATGGTGGCACACCTGTAATCCCATCACTCAGGAGGCTGAGACCAGGAGGGTCATTTAAATTCAAAGCCGACCTGGCCTACACACTCAGTTCAGAGCCAGTGTGAACTACACAGGAAGATCCTGTCTCAAAATATAAAATATAATAACAAAAAGCAAATCCTTAGATAGTATACTGCCATTGTACCTTAAAACTATTTATTCCTACAGCTTTTGAAAGTCTTTGAATATGGCACAGGGAAGGGGTCCGATTCATTCTTGTGTGTGTGGATGACCAGCAGTGGCAGCATCACTTTCTTAAAACTACTCCTTCCCTAATAAACTGTCCTGCTACCCTGCTTGCACAATCAGTTGAGCATAACAAATGCTAGAATGTTCATTCTTTTATAAATGTTAGATAGAACTTGGCAGCAAAGCCCTGTAGTCCTGGGCCTTTCTTCATGAGACATTTTTTGATGACTAATTCAATCTTTATACTTAAGAGCAATTCTCTTCCTAAATTGTTTTCAGTAGTTTTGTCCTTAACAAGAGACATTATGGTAGTCACTGTTGATTTTCTGTTGTCTTGTGAAGCATGTTACTTGCATTGTTCTGTTCTGATTGTCTTTGTTTATTTTATTCTCTTTAAAATAAAAAAAATTTTTTTAAAGTAGTTTTGTCTTTCTAGGAATTTGTCCACTTATTCTAGCTTAGCTAATTTATTGGTATGTACTTGTTCATAATTATTCTATTACAAATTCATTTTCAATCCAATATTCAGGAACACAAGGCACATCTACATCTTTTGTTAAACTAGAAGCTTTACTAGTAAAATGAAATATACTTCTTAAGTGAGTGGATGGCTAATAAAACTATGTCCTATTAATACATGCCAAAATTATTCTCATTTTTATTGTATTATATATAGTATTAATATTACCGTAATATATTCACCTCGCTTTGAAATACTGTTCTCTTCTTTTTGAGATCTTGGGGATTGAACCTGGGACCTTTGCACTGAGCAAGGTCCCTCTCCCTCCTTTTCCTTGTGTTTTGAGAGAGGATTTTGCTACTTTAAGCTTCCTATTCTGGGCTAAAATTTATAATCCTCCTGCCTCAGCCTCCCAGAATGCTGGGATTACTGATGTGTGTCATCATTCATAGATAATAAACTGTTCTTTTCAATTCCATTTTCTTCTGACTGCTTTACTAGTTAAGGTAATTTTAAATTCTCTTCCTGACTCCAGAGCATACGTTTTGACCATCTAGACTCAAAGTGAGGGAAAAACCACTGCAAACTAGCTCAATTCTTAACACAGCTAGCAAGATGGCTCCTTAACTATAAGCAAAATAGCCTCATAGAAGTGACTTTAAAATTCACCAGGGGTGAATTTAAAGCCAAATAATTTGAAGACTGTGAAAATAGAACATGCTTTGTGTCTAGCTATCAAAAATAACATATACATTAATGTTGAGAACATCAGTAACATAAACCGAAATTTGAAAAGATGCTTCTGTATCTCATTATAAGAGTCCCTGTTACCTGACTCATGCTGTCTATGAAACTAATTCATGAAAGCCTGAAAGCCTAATATGATATCATTTTCTATTTTTCTGTTTTGAAAACTTACTATCTATGGAAAATCTACAAGAATATGAAAATCCTAGGTGTCACTAAAATTTACTGCCAACATTTGTTTCTTGCCTTCATTTCTCTCTACTGTACAGTTTCCCCTGGATCCTGGGGAGAAAGTGGTGGCCTTCACAATTCTTTGTCTGCTTGTCAGCACGATCTCCTAAGAATAGGGACATTCTACACAACCATGATGTCATTATTACACTCTCAGTATGCAGTCCTTCCTCTGATTTCGGTCTCGATAACTTAGTGTTTTCTCTTTCTAAATTTAAGATCCAAGCAGGGATCACGGAGTGCGTGAGGGTCTTGTCTGGACTCCTTTCACCCAAGCAGCTCCACTGCTCTTTTCTTTCTCTCTCTTCGGCTTTCATGAAAATGGTATTTTTAAAGATTTTGGGCCTGCAATTTTGTAGAATGCAGTATTTTTGAGATTGTGGGAATATCTAATTCCACTGCGGTCTGGAATTTGGACATATTTTATTAACCAACAATGACATAAAAGCCATAACTTATAATTGAATGCAGCTGCTTAAATCCATGAATTCAAATTTGTCCTTCCAGTGAATCAGCGCAAGCAAACCCTAGAAAAACAAAGCATACCTTGTCCTGTGCCTTTTGCTGGGAGTGCAGGCTGCTGAGGGGCAGAGTGAGAGTCCTCCTGAAAAATAAGAAAAATGTTGTATGAAATTGTGTATAAGCATTCATTTAAAGTAAAAGAAAAAAAATTCTACATGAAACTCTTTGGCCGTGCGGTTCACTTAGAGATCCACAGTAAGAACAGTAAAATGTACACAAGTAGGTGTTTTAAAGGCACTCCTGCTGCACTGTAATGACACAAACTAGGAAACACCATAAACGCCCATAAAGAGTGAGACAGTGCATTGTACACCCATCCAATGCAGACATTAAAAGGATAAAGAGAAAAGACTTCCAAATAGTAACACAGAACGAGATCTGTGATGGAGGGGCAATTAACAAAAGCAGAGTCAGTAGGGGAGGTTAAATCACTTTTACTCTTTATGCGTATGTGATATATTACTGAGAAATATAAACCTTTGATGAATATTTTTGGTACATACAGAACAGGGCTTGGAGCTATATAAAACAAATAACTGGTGAAGCCAGGCGTGGTGGCTCACGCCTATAATCCCAGCACTTGAGAGGCTGAGGCAGGAGAATCATTGTGAATTTAAGACCAGCCTGGACTACAAAGTCAGCTCAAGGCCAGCCTGAACTGCATAGTGAGACCCTGTCTCAAAAAGACAAAAACAAAAAACAAATAACTGGTGATTACTTCTGAAGACTGGACGGAGAAGGAATGTTCTATGAACTTCACAATTCAACTTTTAAATAATGATCATGTATACCTTTTATACCTAAAACTAAGAGAAAAGCCATATAAATGAATTAGAAGCTTCTCTGTATCAAACTGTTACTCACTTGCTATTCTAGTAGAGGATTTAAGAATCTAAACTCCAAGTGCTCTGTGCAAAGGTAGTTTTTTAAAAATTTTTTGTTTGTTCAATTATACTGTTATAATTCAAAGAATGAAGAAACTTCAAATTATAGTATATGGACAAAGTCTAGCTCATCTTTCATTTTGAAAATAATGCTTACTGAAACACAGCTATGCCCATTTCTTTTGTGTTTTTTAATGTTTTAGTGCTCAGGACCGAAGACAGGGCCTCATGCTTGCTAGACAAGTGTTCTGCCACTAAGCTAACTCCCCAATCCCCCCCACTTTTTTTACATGGTGTCTATGGCTGCCTTCCCACTACAACAGGACTGGGTCACTGTGACAGAGACTGGGTGGCCTGCAAATGCTTAAAATATTACAGTACTATTAGGCCTTAGGTAAAAGAAAAGCTAGGGAAAGTATGTCCAGGAGACACAGAGGTGGGATCAAACATGGTTAAAATCATTGTGCTCTTTGGGAATTAATACATGCAAAAGAATTAGCATACAGAAATAATAATTAAAGTAGACAAATTACTATTATGTATCTACATTTATGCTACAGATTCACTGCTTTTTGATGTAGCTATACTGATCTTTCAGAAGGCACCATTTTTTTTTTTTAAATTTTTTCTTTAATTAAGACAAACATAAGAAATGACTAAATAATTTTTTTTGAAACAATAAGGGGGAGATTGAGATAAAACAGGACATAACAATATAACAATAGAGGTCACAGCATGACTGTTTCAACAACCTAGTACTTCACCACCTTATAACCTGACTTAATAGGAGTTACCATAGTGTCTTTTTCCTTGAAATATTTGGATAAAACTTCATATACTCTAGCTTCAAATATTTTCATATCAAGAAGCCCAGAATAAAGCCTTTCTAATTAATGAGTGAAAACTTTATAAGGCTTCAAGGCCACCTAATGGGGAATCATGATTACCACATATTTTTATATATTTGAATCATTATTTACATTAGGGAAACTATTCGGTATTCACACATGCGAGATTGATTTATTTCACTAATGAGTATGGTCTCAAGCTGCGCCCATTTATTGATAAATATCTCAATGTGATCCTAGAAGGCACCATTTTTGAGAGAAACCTAACTGGTTCTTCTAGTGTTATCTATGGTACTGGTTTTGACATAAAAAAACTTGTTGTTTTTGAGACAAGGTCTTAGCTCCTGTGGCTCAGGCTAACTTCAAACTCTCTATGTAGCTAGTGCCATGAAGAAGCCTGTTACCATTTGGTTTCCTGACCACTGTCTTCTATTTTTTCTTTTTAAACTTGTTATTGAAGTAATTAATGTACATACTGAAACGTACATTTCTAGGAGGCAACAAAGACCTATTGTGATAGTAGAGGGTCACTATATACATTTTTCTTGTTTATATTAAAGATTTTTAACTAATTTATTCACTCCTAACTTACTTTTACCTATGTCAGACTCTTAGGTAAAACGACCAATCTCTTAACAAATTTATACACATTTGTAAAAATACTTAATATCAGCTGAGCATTTCTAATCCAAAATCTGAAGTCTAAACTAGCTAAAATCCAAATTTTTAAAATTTTCAACCCTATATACAAATAGTCCAGAATCCAAAAGCTTTGAAATCCAAAAGATTTCTGCTCTCAGATATTTCCAATTAGGGATTCTCAACCTGTACTGTTTTTCTATCCACTTCAATAAATTTTAATGCCTATTTCCTAAAAGTGAGAGATTATCCTTCACTCTTTGTTTTGTTTTAAGACAGGGTCTCACTATGTAGTACAGGCTGGCCTTAAACTTGTTTATGTAGCCTAAGCTGGCCTCGAATTTACTGCAATTTTCCTGCCTTGGTCTCCTGAGTGCTGGGATTACAGCACCATGCCCAGCTCGCCTTTCATACTTTTTAATAACATCAACTCAAACTGGAAGGACCAACTTGGGTTGGGGCCATGTCACATCTATTGGAGAATACTTACATTTGTTGTAGTTCTCTTGGACACTTTGGGAATTTCAATTTGTCGAAGATTCTGTGAAACTTCTGCAAGGCTTTTATGTCTTCTTAATGCATTTTTCCTTTTAAAAATAAAAAGAAACTAGTCAAAACACACCAGATAGAAGTTACACGCAGTTAAATTTGAATGGAACCAGCATCTAAAATGAAACCTTTTTAAGTAAAAGTCAGTTGTCTTGGTATTGGCCTAGATTTATATCAAAACAAGTCACCACTAAAATTTCCAAAAATAACCACTAGAAATTCAGCTAGTTAATAGCAATGAAAAGCATCAAGGACAATTGGAAAAGTGAATTGCAACCCTAAGCTTATTTCATAAATGTCTCCTAGTTCCTAGAGACCCCATGTGGACTGTTTTGTGAACTACAGAATAAGGGCTGCATATTTCTTAGGTAACAGAGTGTCAGATGCTGCTTGGCAGGAACGCAGACAGTTAGCTTCTGTGATTCAGACTATTAATTTAGTTACATAAACAAAGATAACAGACCAGGTTTAATGCACCCTTTGTCTGACCTGTATGACTAACAGTACAAGTGATGCCTTCATGCCCTGAGTGCTCACCTCCTCTTCTTGGCTGATCTGGTCCGGAGCTCCTCCAGCTGGTCAGTGTTGGTGCTGCCTGGCATTGATCTGTGAGCGCTCGAAGGAAGAGACATGGAAAGCAGTGGCGATTTACTCTCCTGGGTCACAGAGTCATCACTGAAAAAGTCTGTGGGAAGGACATCAGCCAGCTTCTGAGGAATCTCAAGTCCAAGGCTGTTGTAAAGATTCCCCAATGTCTCTGGGATGGAGTCAATGTACCTGCGGAGAAAATTGGTTAGGTATGAAGCACTCACCACCTCACACCTCTGTTCCTCTTCACCCAGCATGAGAAATGGTCCTCACAGTTCCGCAACTCCAGACAACAACTGCGTGGCTCTCGGTAAAACAAATTTAAAGTGAGTAGCCACAGAACTTACAGTTTCAAAATCTCTTGCAGAAAATTCGCTGGGTATGCTGAATCTTCAGTTAGATGCACAATGCGCAGCAAAGCTGTCACCTGAAGGAGATTTTAGAAAATAACCATGTACTCTCTGCAGGGCTGCTGAAAACACTGGGTCCATTCCCAGCAGCACTAAGATACGTACTTACCTCTTCCACTACTTGCTCCATCTCATCTGGGTTTTCTAGGATGGAAGGACACTGCAAACACATCTCCAAACGAAGAAATACCTGAAGCTGGCACCTTGAGAGAAAAACATTCAGTCATGTCTACGTTGAATGCCCATTAACTGAAAACTCCTTCTGGTACAAGATCTATTTGTATAAGAAATAATGCCCAGTAAGAAGAGTCATTGCTTACTTTAAATAATGATGTGCTTATTAGGTAAGTAAGTGACATGTCAGAAATTCACAAAAATCAGCTAAGCATTTCCAAGCAACTTGGCAATCTTAGATTCCAACAAATGTTAGAGCTTTGTTTTAGCGTAAAATTTTAAAATTAGGTAAGTGGAAGGAAATTACTTACTCTCTGACTTCATTTTCCTTATCCAGTTTTTTCCCCAGATTCTGTCGGAAACTTTTGCTAGTTTTTAAGAGATCACTTTTTATATGATTCAGGCAGGCCACCTAAAAATACAAATTATTACACGGAAGGTTACTTATCATTATCTCTAATTTCTTTCATAGCCTACTAATGCCCCAAGAGAGAAAGTATATTCCCTTACAAATTCTCCTTTTCCTTCATTTGAACGAAAAATAATGGAATATTCTTCTTTAATATCATTGAAAAAATGATTTGTGAGCACGTAGGCAAGGACAGGGCAACATGCAAGCAGAACAGTCTTAAAAAGAAGGTCCCATGAAATGCTGACAGAAGTGTAAGTTTTTTTTTTTTTGTTTTGTTTTGTTTTGTCTTTTTCCTTTTTATCAGTACCAGGGATCGAACTCACAGCTGCCTGCTTACAAGGCAGGCGCTTATGCCACTGAGCTAAACCTCCAGCCCCCCAGAAGTATAAGTTTTATAAACCACTATTGTTCACTTTAGAAGGAGCCCCGCTTTTGCCAATAAACATGAACAAAAATAACAAAAACATGGTCTACAACCATGTTTACAGCACTGCCAGGCACCACATCTAAGGAGTTTTAAAAATTACAGATGACCAAGTCCCAACCCAAGCGCTAGGTGATTGTGGAAGGCAATGAAGGCTGGAAAATAATGGCTTGATTTGTGCACCTACCATGTACGTCAGCAAGACACATGTAGTTATCTACCCACAACTATTCCTTTGTTTTCACCCTACCAGGTCATCATGTCGGGCTTCTAAGGTCTGGAATTTTCCTTCTCTCTTGTTCTTCTTACCATGTTTGGTGCATGGACAGCACAACAGACATTTCCAAGACATGTGAACAGACCCGCCAACACCCAACCAGCCGTTGCATCTATTAACATCTTACTTCTACTTCCTTGGTGCCTTTGGATTTTAGGAACCCTTTAATAGTTGAGATCATGTTCCGAGCGCATGAATATAATGTGATTTCCCCTGTAGTCAAAGTCTTTTGGTAATTTTCATGTATGTAGGATAGCAGCTCCTCCTCAGTCTTAAAATCTGTGGGAAAAAACCCCTAAAATTAATGATCACATTCAAGTTCTTATGTTACTGAAGCCAATGGCTGTCGGCTAGGGGAAGATCTTGCCTCCTAAGGGACATCTGACTAGCACTGTTGCGGCAGATTACTGCTCTCTAGAATTCCAAATGTATCATATGGTGGGAAAGGAAAAACAATGGAGACAATGGAAAGTGGTTGCCATGGATCAGGGAGAAGGGAAGGTGACTAATTGGGACACAAATGATTTCTGATTTCTATACATATTCTGTTGTTATATGTCTAAATATTTAACATTCTTGGATTTTTCTCCTTCAATGTACATGTCTGTAACTGAGATGACTGCATTAACCTTCTATCATTTAGATCTGTCAAAATTGTCCTGTGGTTCTGCCAATTTTTGCATCATACAATAAGCCTTTTTTATTTGGTTCATACAAATTCAGAATTGCTTATCTTCTTGTGATTATGTCTTTTGTCAGTGAGCAATGCATTTATTCCTAGTGACTTTATATGTTAAAGTTTTTGTTGCTTATATTAATATAGAAACCTGCCTTTAAAAAAATCCAATCTGATAATTTCTTCCAAAATAAGTTCATAAGTGTTATGATTATTAGTAAGCTATATTATGCCTCAATATCTATCTATATCTTTTTTTTTAAAAGACAAGGTCTCACTACATATTTAGGCTGGCCTTGAACTCACTATGTAGCCCAGGCTGGTCTTGAACTTGTGGCAGTCCTCCTGCCTATCTCCCAAGTGCTGGAATTAAAAGCGCACAGTACCAACCCTGACCCAGCCTTATTAATTAATTAATTTTCTTTTGTGAGAGGGCCTCACTAAGTCCCTCAGGCTGGGACAGAACTTGTGATCCTCCTACTTCCGCTTCCCAGAGGGCAGATTACAGAGAAAATTCTTTCTAGTAAATATGAACATAGTGGTCAGTCTGCAGTTTGCTTAAGCAGTTTCTCTGGCTAAGAGTTCCTTTGTTTTACTGAGTATTTACCTCGTTCTTTTTTTTCCCTGTCTCCACTGCATGTTTTCAGAAGTGATCAAAGTTTAAAGAAATCTCTGTTGGGAATATTGGTGGCATTTTGACTGGGATTAAGTTAAATCTATCTATCAGTTAGGGGAAAATGGTCATTTTGTCAGTGCTGTCCAAGAACAGGGGATGCCTCTCCTTTTTTTTCTTCTGCTTTCCTTTTTCAGAGTACGCTAGTTTTCACTATAGATGCCTTTCACTTCCTTGGTTAGTTCCTAAATATTTAATTTTTGTTGATATTATTGTGAATGGTATTTTTTTCTAATTTCTTTCATGGGCTCACTAACAACACGTGGGCCAATGGAACAGAACAGAGGACGCAGAACCAACCCTACACATTTAGCCACCCAATCTGGAGGAAAGATAACAACAAACAGTGCTGAGAAAACTGGTTACCCACATGTAGAAGACTGAAACTAGACCTACTCTCTCTCACCATGTACTAAATTAAAATAAAAATGGCCCTGAGATTTAAGTATTAAAACAGAAATACTTTACCTGCTAGGAGATAAGACACCGGCAAATATTTCTGAACAGAACCCCAGTTGCACAAAAATAACATCAAGAATGAACAAATGGGAGCACATCAAATTAAAAGGCTTCTGCACAGCGAAGGAAACCACCAACAGAGTGGAGAGTCAACAAATAAAATGGCCCAAAGTGGGCAACTGAAATGAACAGAAACTTCTCAGAAGTGCAAATGGCCAATAGACACATGAAAAAATACTCAACAGTGCTGGTCATTAGAGAAATGTAAATTAAAACAACACTGAAATTCTATGGCTGTCATCAAGAAATGAAATAATAAATGTTGATGAGACCATGGGGTTGGGGCAGTGGGGGGCCTTCTCCGCTGTTTGTGGGAACGTAAACTAGTATGATCAGTACAGAAATCACTGTGAACATTCCTCCAAAATCTTAAAACAGAAACTCCACTCAATCCAGCTATTCCCTTTCTATTATCTTCCTGAATGAATAAAAGTTACCATATTCTAGTGATCCATGTATACTCCTGTTTACAGAAGCATAATTCATAATGGCTGAATCCTGGAAGCAGCCTATAGTCCATCAACAGATGAACGGAGAATGTGGCACTTATACAGAGGAGGGAACTACCCTGCTCTGAAAGAGAATAAATTTGAGTTAATCTATAATGTTAAATGAAATAAATCAGACACACAAGCTGAAATGTCGTATTGTTTCTCTTATATGAAAAACCCAAAATATGTTAAGTAAATCAAAGGGCAAAATAAAAGACAATAGGAAATAGGGAGACAAGACTTTCACAAATGGGAAAGGAAACTAACTGTGGGGGAGAAGGGGAAGCAGACATAAAAAGAATTAAAATGTGCCATGTTCATGTACCAACTACCCACAATAAATGTATTCATTATGTATTGCAAATACATACTAGTAGAGTTTTAAATAAGTAAACAAACCAAAATGCTATACAGGGGAGAGATACCTTTTGGTTTAGAACTCCTTAATGATCTTCCTCTGTCTTCCAGCTTATCAGCTGTTCTTCCACCAACTGTCTTCTGGATCCCTTTTTCCCCAGCTGCATCTGGACTGCCATCTGGGTGTAACTTCTGAGCCTTTACATTCAGCCTTGCGACATTCAACATCTTTAAGGAGCGACACATGGTATTCATCTTCTGCCTCACTGGAGTGCGAGGGATGCCTCCTGCCAAAATGACAGCAAGGATGAAATGTCAACTAACTGTCTCTTCTGTGGAATCAGAAACTACTTTTATTCAGATGCCATGAAACAACAAGTACTCTTCCCGAATGACGGGGATTAGGTAGTTCTTGAATCTTTTTCTACCCAAACACAGGGAAAAGTCCTTGTAACTGATATTTAGGAACTAAACTACATGTGGATGAAGGCCATAGTGTTATGATGTTCATCTTTCTTTTTTTTTTGTCTTTTTCATTTTTATCGGTACCGGGGATCGAACTCACGACTGCCTGCTTGCAAGGCAGGTGCTTATGCCGCTGAGCTAAACTTCCAGCCCCACACAGTGTTATGATGAAACTATAAAAGATAATTTGGCAGTTTGCATCAAGAACCAGTTTTCATATTGTTTCACCCAGTAAACTATCCCTAGGAACTTCTGCTAAGGAAAGCGCTCAAAGGACAAATTACATATAATTACTGTAGTATATTTATGAGAACTGAAAACAATCTAAATGTTTGACATGAGAATTTGTAAATTTTGTTAAACAATGAGGCAAAATAAAAGGCAAAGGCGTGGATAAAAAATATTTATAAGGGGAATGAGGTTTATTTATTAAATTTCTGCTATTACTAAAAATGAAGGTAGCTTAGTAGGAAGGACTGTAGGTGATATTTTTATCAACATGGGCTTGTGATTATTTTCAAATCTCAAATATAAGAATTTGCCCTTGTTAATTTAGTTACTATTTTAAACTTATTTCAGAGAATCTTTTAAAATGTAGACTCTAAAGACTGCCGTAAGAAACAGCCATTCTATGTGCTTACGTTTCTTTTTGGTGTCTTCTTGGTTAGCTGCGGTAGATTCTTCCCTAGAGCGTCTCTGGTAGAGCTCGGAGAGGAGATGTGTTAATTCACTTTCAGTTTTGGAAGACTGCTCTTTATTAGTTGAGGCAGCCTGTAGTAACCTGTAAAGTCAAGAGGTCTAGAATAAAACAAAATTCTAATTTTCCAAAATGCTTAGAAAATGAACAGAGCAGGAAAAAAATCTATTATCGTCTTAAAAGCTAATCAACAGCTATTCCCAAAAGGTGCCTTTAAAAATAGTTTTTCTGCCAGGCATGGAGATGCACACCTGTAATGAAAAGAGGAGGAAGCTGTTGAAAAGAGGAGGAAGCTGGATAGGTGGGATGTTTAGTTACTGAATGTTTTGCCACCTAGAGCTAAAGATCAGTCACCAGGGAAATCATGAAAACGTATTACATTCAAAAATGTATTATTTGCATTTCAATATCTCCTGGTATCCAAAATCATCTGATTAAAAGTGGGAGGAAGTTACAGTTCCGCCTGCTGAGCAGTGGTAACAAATCAGGGTACGCGCAAGGATCCCAGCTTCACGTAGGTGGCTGGTCAGCAACAAATAACTCTCACAGTATGTACGTGGGTCTTTTAACAGAGGGAGCATTTGCTGGTTTTTCATTTTACTGTTAATTTTTCAAAATACAAACCCTTCAAGGAGGATACAATATAAATAGAGAAGTATATAGCTCTCACCAAGATTAAATACTTGTTAAGTTTCTTACAGCTGCTTCAGACTCTTTTTCAAAGAAGCTAGGTGTGTTACCAGAACTGCTAACACCTTGCCCCATCTCTTCCCACCTCTTTCCCCACAGAAATTCCTAGACCTGTGTGGATTTAACAAAATTAGCATAAACTGCCACTTTATGTTGTAAATTCTACATAAATACACCATTTGCAATCATTTATAGTCAACGTATTTTTCAGGTGTATATAAATAGCTCTAGTTTATTCATTTTTACTAATCTATATATAATACTCTACGACTATATCATCATAGTATCCATTTCCGGTTTGACGGTCAACTGGTTATTACATTGTCACTATTAGTAACTAGTGATGAAGAGCCTTCCTTGTATCTAAGAATGCTTTAACATAGTATTTAATGTAGTATTCTAGAAGTGAATTTCTGGTTACCACAAATTTCCAAATTGTCCTTGCAAACGGTTGTAAGCCTTTGTACTTCCACCCTTGAAGTTCATATTTTCTTAGGTGGTACTATAAATTTAATAATTTAAGAGGTAAAAACAGAATTTTTTTTATTATGGTTTTAATTTCTGCCTGCCAGAGCAGAGTGCCTTCAAATGACTGACTGTCGGATTTTCTCTTATATAATTTGTTCACTGGCATTCTCTGTGCAATTTTTAGCTGGATTGCTTCTCTTGTGGACTTTTAGGACTTCTGACTAATTTGGATACTAAGTCTTTATTGACTATAGTTTGCATCCCAAAAAGGAAAAGAAAAATTGGAGCTAGATATTTTTGTGGAAAAAAACTCCTTAACCTTGCCTCTCAATGGAGACTTTTGTTTATTTGTTTTGGTTTGGTTTTTGAGACATGATATCACTGTGTAGTTCAGGCTGCCTCCGACTCATGGAAATCTTCCTGCCTGGGCTCCAGAGCCAGGGCTATGCTAGCATACCCGGCAATAACAGTTTGAATTTCTTTTCTTCTTGTTTTTTGGAGACAAAGTTTTGCTACAGAGTAGTTCAGGTTGGCCTTAAACTCATTATGTTGCTCAGGCTGGCCTTGATGTTGTGACAATCCTCCCACCTCAGCCCCTGTACTGCTAGGATTACAGGTGTGCACCAGCATGCCCAGTGTTATCCTCCATATTCCCAATATTGTATTCCTTTTTTCTAATTGTTCAGTTTTACTGTAGTGTATTTTATTTGACTTTTCAAAGAGCCATCTGTCTTTAGTTTCTTTGTTTTACTTCTGTTTTGATCATTTTATTCTTCCTTCATTTAGGGAAGGGATGTAGTTCAACTCTACTTCCTATGTTGGATTCTTAGTAACTGATTTTTAACTTTTTTTCTTTATAAAATTCATCTGTACTACACAAGTTTGCTACTGTCTATTTCACTGATGTTTCTGAATGGTTTCAGACAGGATAGTCATAATACATTGGGACTGTTTTACTTATATTTAACAAGTTTACAGCTGGGGATTTAGCTCAGTGGCTAACTGCCTGCCTGCTAAGTGTGAGCTCATGAGTTCAATCCCCAGTACCAAAATAAATAAATAAACAAGTTAAACCCACATGAATAAAACTGAGAGTTGATTCTCATATACCCAGAGAAATAAAAAGCCTTACCAAAATGACTCCATCAAATCTGAACTGGCCCCACTGATGTTAGAGAAAAGAAACCACTTCTCCAGGACAGCTGGGCTCCAGGGAGCTGTGCGGCCGAGCTCCTGCTCAGCCCACTGGGGAATGGGGGGAGCTGCACAAACACAGGACAGGTGGGACAGGAGAGGAGAGGTTAGAACCACTGCAGAGCCCCTGGGACCTGCTCCTTCTCTGGACCGACTGCCTCCCAAGAGACTTACAAAGTGGCTTAACAAGACTTACTTATCCCACCACCTACTACTGTAGGCCGACACTGTGAAAAACATACAAGGACAATTTAAAGTTTGTTTTTATTACTGACAACAAATTCCTTCATCTTATTTCTAAGATGTTCCTCTAAAAACAGGGCTTAAGGAGTGCTATTTTGTTGTTCTTAAAAACGTGCCTCTTTTTTAAAAGTGGTTTTAGCACGATAAATATAATAATAACAGCAGCATAAAACCGCAGAATGTGACAGCTGGCGTCCAGTAAGAGGGAAACTTGAAACAGTATGATGTGGCACTGTGTGTGGAAAGGGAGAGCAGGTTTTCTTAAAGCAAGCCCAACAGAGCTGTAGCTGGGCAACACTTACATAAACTTTAGTAAACTCTGCAATTCTGAGAGCTCCTTATGGGACCTCAGAAAATGAAATTCTATATATTTAGGAACTCTGAGAAAAAACAAATACTTAAAAATGTACTCAAATTCCTAGCAAGACTTTCAAGTTCTAGTCACTATTCCAGAGAGAGCTAAATGACACTCTGAAAAGAGTCCCCAGTGTCTAAAGGGTAGATGAGCCAAGGGCCTTGCCACAGACAGGTACAAATATTAGCAATGCTAGCTCAGGCTGGTGGACAAGGAGGGCGTGAGGAGGAAATGGTATGTGGGCTTGGTCTGATGCATGCATGGGCCCCCCGGACAGTGTGCGGTGGAAAGCGGACAATAAATCAGCACAGTGATCTGCATCCTTCAACTGCTGGCCAGGCCACGGCAGCAAGTACTAGGAAAATACTGATACTTCTTTTATCACATTCCCAAATAGTTTTCAGACCTGCTTCTAAGGCTACAAATAATTAAAATATACTCTGTTCTACTACAGTAAAAATTTTCTGTAATGCAAGGAGCTAATGCATGGCTGTCAAATGAAGTAATGTCATCTGTACAAAGTATTACCTTGTCTGGGTTGAGGTGTGATTATCCCGCAAGGGCTAACACAGTGACTCTGGAGTAGCAGCAGCTAAAGTGGACTAACAACTAAATACAAAAAGCCAGAGGAACACGCTGCCCTACCCTCCTACCCACATTCTTCCTGCCTGCTTGGCTATTTGCTGGTTCTGGAATGTGCTTACTAGGTAGTTCTCAACCTTTGTCACTGTCTGGTGTCCCTAAACTACAACAATTTCAACCCTTTCTGGCTTCCTCCCATCCCATTATCTTTTCAAAGGACAAGGCATAGATATAATAGTTTACTTATTATGTATTTCATGTGTCTTTTTAATGGAACTACACTACTCATTAGGATTGCTATTAGTTTTTATTACTATCAAAGATTTTGAGAAGTTGGTCCCAATCCACTTTCTCAAAGATATTACTTTTAGAATAAGACTGTGTAGAATATTTTTTAAATAAAGAAACCTTGTATCACATTATAGCATAAATTCCTGTAATCTCATTTGCTGGAGGCAGGGATATATAGTTTAGGAATACAGCGCCTGCCTGGCAAGATTCCTCCTGAGATTAATTCTTGGTACCAAAAAAACCTATTTGCTGTGTCACATTAAAACATTCAGACAATGGCAGTAAGGTCTGTGGGAATAAACACAGAAGAAATAAATACCCCATCAGCGCACTGCTCTCCCAGTCCTTTAATCCCTGTCCCCCACGGACCCCCCACCTTTGCTCTGTCTTCTGTTGTCCTCACTTCCCTCCTTACCCTGCTTCCCTGACACCACTGCAATCCCTCTCCACCCCCACTTTGGAACCCATGACCTTCTCTAGTTGCTCTGTCCTCACTTGGCAAAACCCCAACCCTGGCTACTCCGGCACTCAGCCTGCTCTGTAACTGTCCCCAGCAGGTGACAGTGCTGCAGGCAAACAAATTCGCTCATGAGGGACCTCGTTTTACATTCGTGACCACAGAGGGAACCGTGCTCACTGCCTGTCTCCACTTCCATTCACACGTCCCACCTGCCTCCATCAAGTGCCAGCGCTCCATTAAACCTTGCCAGCCAGTGCCTGCTTCCGAGCTCACTGACGGAACTCAGAACCCCAGAGTCACATCGCATCCACTCACTTCCCAGCAGCCCCTCAGATAGTCTTGCCTCCCCACCAGTTACCTAAGTATGTGTTCCCAGGATCACCCCCTCCACCTGCACCTTCTCCAAGACGTCTTACCAGCCATCCTCTCCCTCTCCCGAACAGTGTTTGCCTTAGTACGTCAGCATGTGAGCACGCTACCATTGTTAAAGATCAAAAACGAAAACCTCGACTGCACTTCCCTCTGGCCGCTGTTCATAGCTCTAATCTCCTTCACAGCAAAGCAACTCGCCAACACTGTCTGTGCTGGCTGTTCTCACTGCCTGTCTCACACTCTGTCTTGAAGCTGACTGCTACTCACGTTTCCACCTTTCTCGTTTCACCAGAACCTGCATCAAGACCACCAGCAATCTCCTCAACATTCAGTCACATGTCAACTCCCAGCCTCGTCCTCAACCCAAGAAAGCAAACAACCCAACCCAGCGTGCCCTCTCTTCACCTGGCTTCCAGAGCACCACCAGCCTGGCTCTCCTCTACCTCCTGCCTGCCCCTTTTGTGTCTCCTTCGCTGTTTCTTCATCCCCAGATTGCTTTGTCATCGAATGCTGATTCAGACCTCGGTGCCCTTCTTTTCAGCTACACTTACCCTTTGGTTGTTTCATGACTTCACCTATCACAGCTGACTCATCTCCTGTCCAGACAGACCCACCGAACCCCACACATGCCTGGTTCTTAGCGCAGCCCATGTGCAGATGTGAGGCTCAGATTTATGCCCCACACAAAGCCCAAATCCTCACCAGCCCGGTGACCTGTTCTCCCTCAGCCCTGCCTGTCAGGAAAGGTAGCTGCCCTCCACTGGTTAGGCCCAATCTCTGGAGTCATTTTCAGTATCCCTATATTCCACACAACCCTGTGATCCAAGAGCAGATTCTGTTGGCCCCCCTTCAAAATATAGACAAAAACGCTACTCTGTTTTCTGTATTGTCATCACTATCTCTTTCCTGGATTATCAGATCTCTCTGATTGTCTCTTGCTATCCTTGCTTCTCTCTGGCTAATTCTCAGCAAAGTACCCGGAGTAATGCTAGTAAGATGTTAGGTCAGAGACTGTGTCCCTGTGGGAAGCTTCCCAAGGCTTCCTCTTACTCCAGTAAAAGTGCAGGTCTTCTCCCTGCTCTGTACCCTGTGCGATGTGGCCTTCTGGCTCCTAGCACCCTACTCTTGGCTTCTCCCACCTCAGCCACTGGCTTACTTGCTGCTCTGACAACACCAGCCACGTGCCCATCTGAGCCTTGGCACTTGCTGCTGCCCTGATCGGCAGCTCCTTCCGTCACGTCCCTCCTGCCTTTGTAGTACAGATCTTCTCTGGTCACCCCAACACCCCTCATTCCCTCCTGTGTGCTGCTTTACTATAGCACTTGTCTTTCAAATAAATGACAGGGGGCCGGGGATTTAGCCCAGCAACACAAGCACCCGCCTGGCAATCGCAAGGGCGATCTGTAGTAAAAAAAAAAAAAAAAAATCCAATCAAATAAATGATAGGATTTTTCTTATTTAGCTTATTGCCTATCTCCCCTGGCTAGATGGTGAGCTCCAAGACAACATTTTGTTCTCTGATGTCCATTTTGTTCTCTGATGTATTCCCAGTACTTAGAAGAATGCCTGGTACAAAGATAGATAGCGAGCACTCAGTAAATCTGTTCAGTAAATGAGTGAATGGAAGAAACATCAAGTTGATTATATTTAAATTTACCTCAAATAATTAACGTGTCATATTAGTAATAACTTAGTAAATTTTAAAAGACACAATCACTATAGTTTTCCATACAGTCTTCATTAAAAGCCAGGATTCACCTTATGATTTTGATTTCAAAATGGTTTCACAGACCCTCTGGCCTCCTCAGAAGGGCTTCACAATTTCTATAATAACGCTTGAAAGTACTGAGCTTGCTTTTTCGATCTTAAGTACTAGGGCTCTGACTGCATAGTGTAAAAGTTCTGCACACCATTCCAGACTGTTAGTTACTGCCTCAGAAGCGTACCAGAAGCAGTGGCATCTTCAAATAAACGATGAATCTCATTCAGTACACGATCCGTAACATCTGAGAAAAGGGATGTTGTATCCTGGGGGCCTTCGGCTGCGACCGTTTGGAGAAAATGTCCTTGGAATTCAGCTTCCCTGACGTGGAACACAGTGAGAATCATAGCACTGGCAGACAGTGGGGAAAGGATTCCGGTGACAGGGGGCCAGCCTTCACCCGGGTCCACACTGGCAACCTACAAAGAAGTTTTAATTAGCTGGGAATATTATCAATATGCTTAAAGAACATAGTTTATAAAAGAATAATAACTGGCTATTAGAGGTAGAACAGAATTTCCTAATCATATAATCCTAAAGTTCTGATTTACAAATTAAAAAACCTAACATTGCCAGGAGTATTTACTAATCACGGACGTGCTGACTAAATCCTCACAACCACTGAGGTAAAAAGACTGCCCTCATTTGGTAAAGAATTAAAGAGGCTAAGGAGCAAGTAACCCATGCAAGATCACCTGTTTTTTGGGAGAACATGGGGAGATGCTAGCATGGGGAGATGCTAGGCACAGCTGACTTCAAAACCCAGGCACCTGGGGCTGGGGATTTAGCTCAGCGGCATAAGCACCTGCTCTGCAAGCAGGTGGTCGTGAGTTCGATCTCCAGTACCGATTAAAAAAAAAAAAAAAACAAAACAAAAAGCATGCACTTAGGCACTACCTCTTCAGGGTTCCTCTGGAACACCCAGTGGCAGCGGGACTGCCTGACTCCTGCACCAGTGCTCTCCACACCAGGGCACTAGGCTCTTAGAACAGCACCAGCAGTGACCCCCCCCCCTCCCCGCATCTTTCTCTGGGCTGTTCCAAGAGAGGACTCAGAATGTAGGTACTACCTGAGATCATGGAGGTAAAGTGAAGTAAAAATTACCATCACTTTGAAATCAGATCTGATTACAGGTATTATCCTTTTCAGAAAACACTTCCATGTCTTAACTATTGTGATGCTAGTATACCCAATTCCATAGTGTGTAGTAGCTTTTTTAAAAATACTCATTTAAAAAGTAATCAATAGGGCTGGGAATGTAGCTCAGCGGCATAAGCACCTGCCTTGCAAGCAGGTGGTCGTGAGTTCAATCCCTGGTACCAAGAAAAAAAAAAAAAGTAATCAATACATAACAGAACATTTGATAATTAAAAAGAAAAAAAGAAAATCATTCATCACTTCACACTCTAACACAATCATTTGATTGACCTCCTTCTCTCCTATTGGAATCCAAGAACTTACTTGGAGTCAAGGTAGCTGCAATTTTATAAATGGTTTCTTCACTAGTGACACCCTCATCATGACGCTACAAAGGAGACAGCATTAGTTCCCAAAACATCATCCATTTCCCAGGGCTATTATGTGGAGCAATTCTTAGGATTTTATAAATATACTCATCTCAAGTTACCAAGGTGCTCCAAGATAAAAATCACACGGCACTTGGAGGACACCTACCAGATGTAACTTTTCAGCCATCAGACTGCTTGCCAGCTGCTGAAATAAGAGCCCTTGAGTCAGTCTGTTCTCCTCTGGACTCTGTAGCATCCAGCTGTCGGTGCCCAAAGTGCCACTCATCGGGAGAGACCACTGGGCCACTGAGCCTTTTAAAAAAATTCTAACTGCATTCTGAAAATGTCTCTGATGCATGGCCAAGGGCTCTAGGGTAACTGTCCATGTTTCTTGAACCTCTTTGCCTGTGAGAAAAAAAGAATATTAGAAATTCTAAAATAAGAGACATTTCTAAAAAGAGATTTAATAATAAAAACATCAGATTTCCAGTGTAGGTACTAGTATTGCCACTTAGCTCCCATTTTAGTGCTTACGACTATTGTCAGCAAGCCACCACAGCAACCGAAGACTGCGTAAACAAATAGAACCACAAGGGCAAGATATGATGTCAGAATGTGTCAATAATTATCACTTAGAAATACGCAGTCCACCAAAGAATTCTCCATGCTGGAGATTGAACCCAGAGGCCCATGCACTCTAGGCAAATGCTCTAGACGTCATTTCTTGTTTGTTTGTTTTGGTAATGGCAATCAAATTTAGGACCCTGCACTTGTCAGCCAGGCACTTGTGCCATAGAGTTATATCCTCAACCACTTCTTTTTTTTTTTTTGTCTTTTTCCTTTTTATCGGTACCGAGGATCGAACTCGCGACTCCCTGCTTGCAAGGAAGGTGCTTATGCCGCTGAGCTAAACCTCCAGCCCCCCCAGCCACTTCTTAAGCCCATAAAATATAGTGCATCATACTGTAGGAGAAGGTTAAATTCTAAAGACTGGATGATGAACTTGTTCAGCAAAATTACTCAAAAACTCCTTTAAATTCCACATGGCATATAACAGTTTAGCATATGCATCTATAGGCAGTATTATTTCTGTGTAAATAAATAATGCATTTAGAAATAAGACTCACCATATAGAAAATCACATGGTAAAAGAAATCTATGAAGATTCTAATGTGATTGTGTAGACTAATTTATATCTTCTTTTGGTTAATCAATGCCTCTCTGCAGTTTTCAATTTATCAGTCTTTTCCAAATGGCAATAAAATCTAAACACCGATATGCTTGGGTATCTGACAATATTATGCATCTTTGGGAAGAGCTAGAAAATTCTTTTTTAAAAAATCATTCACATGTTCTTTTTTCACACATGACCTGGTAATTGTACTGTATTAGAACTCAATCCTTTCCTGGGATATCTCTGATTTTGCTTATACACTTTTAGATTTTTTTTCAATTACAAGCATTAACTGAGTGCTTAGGCTGTGAAAAATACTAAAGTTAAAAGTATGGACCTGCCTTGAAGAAGTAAATGTATCTAAGATTTCCAAACCTCCAATAACATTATTTACTTACCTTTAACAGGGAGAAATAATGTTCCTTCCATTCGTGGAAATGAGGCTTCGTACACAGCAGGATTATAGAGTAAACAGTTTAAAGTGGCATCAGTTGGCAGAGTTGAAATCCATGGAGAGAGGTGAGGTTCACTTGACATCTTTCCTTCACCGTCAAGTATTGTCTCCCCAGCTTTAGTAAAACTCCAGTTGAAAGTTTCAGGTGGCAAAACAGCTCCTCCTTCATGGCGGAGCAGTTCACAAATTGTCCAGTACCCAACATGGTCTGGGGAATCCCACAACTAAAATACAAATAGCAGAGCGTCAGGTTAGCGTAAATTAAGAACTTATGAATAAAGCTAAAGGAAATAAAGCTGATACTAATGTTAAAAAATCAAATTACACGATTAATATATTTGTCAGACCAAAGACAAACATGGCCAGCATCCGCTGATTACTACATAACATGCCTTCAAAAAAGATTTCATTTGAGATAGACTTCATTTGTATTTTCTGTCAAGGAATAGAACTGGAATATAAATCATAAAGTATAAAACATCAGAGTCAGAAGGGTTACAAACTTTTATACATTAATAAAAATAATTCTGTCTTACACAACAAGGGTGAGCAGGTGTCACGGAAAGAGGCAGCACGGGCATATGAGTTAGGGTATGACTGTCACTCTGCTCTGTCCACCCACAGGTCTGAGGGACCTAACAAGTCCTCTTCTGCTTTAACTGAAATTCTCATCTCTTCCTGAATTCCTGTGTAGCCTATAAAAACGCTGTACTCTACCTCTAGCCGTTCCACCAATATCTTTCCAAATCATATACCTGAGGGTACTATTCTCTGAAAGCTTTCCAGGATAAAGTAACTAGCTATGAAGTCAATCACAACACATTATCTTCTATTTTCTCCATCCAGCATCCCCTATGATAGGACAACACTAAGGAAATAAGAGGAAGACCCACCCCAGACTACTATAAACTGCCATGAACGGGAAAAATGTGATACAGTCAAGGTCACCTAGACAATTCTCCAAATTTCCAAGACATTCAAGTTCCAAGAGGATCAGGGAATTATTCAGATTCAGCAAGGCAATGACAGGCCAACTCAAAAATCCAAAACTGTCTTAACAATGCTAGAAACATTGATCTTTTGATGGGATCTTGATAGATCATTTGATGGATTAGTTTATGATCAGCATTAAAAAATAAACAGAAACTCGGGTAGGCGGAGGCAAGAGAATCACTGCAAGTCTGTGGCCAACCTGGGCTCCACAGTGAGTTCAAGACCAGCCTGAACTAAGTGGTGAGACCCTGTCTCAAAACAAACAAAAACAGAAAGAAAATAAACTAGAGCACAACAGTAAACACTACACGGAGTGGTACTGAGTGTAATAAGAAACTTTGAACTTTTGTTTCAGTTATTCACAACAATCAAAGAAACTGTACCAGAGTATCGATTAACTAGTATTTGCTGTTACCAGATGTGGTTCCCTTATATGGAGGATGTAGGAGGAAGATAAAAGATAAATTAATTCAGAGACCACAGATCCTGATGGTTCCTGCAAAATGGATACAAAAAAAAAAAAAAAAAAAAAAACTATTGAAATTGAATCAGAGGACCAGTCAGGGAAAAAAAAAATCTGCTTATCAAACGAAAGGTAAATCTTTAGTAAGAGCTTAAAAGGACATTAACTTTTTTTTTTTGTCTTTTTCTTTTTTATCGGTACCAGGGATCGAACTCATGACTGCCTGCTTGCAAGGCAGGCGCTTATGCCACTGAGCCAGATCCCCAGCCCCTGGACATTAACTTTTGATTAAAAAGCAATATATACCCATGATTTCAAAATAGCATAGAGTATATTTACACTTCATTTGTATACACGTAACAGGGTGAAGGACATGTCACCCGAGACCCCTGTCGCCTTACCTTGGACCACTCGGTGGTGTCCACCCAGTAGAAGGTGATTTTTCGGGCAACCATGACCTCCTGGACTCTCCTGGGGAACAACTTCTCCATCACTTGCTTAGGCGTGGGCGGCAGGCCCTGGGCCTGGGCCTCGCAGCCCGACACGAACTGCACCAGCTCCCTCTGTGAGTGTGGACAGGGCGCCAGGAGGAAGACAGCGTTCACTAGGCCCCCGAGCGCGGCCTCGGCCTCCTTGGCTTCGCTGTCGGCATCCAGCAGTCTGCGGCCGCTGCTCCGCAGGATCGGCTTCGTGGGCGACGTGATCTCAGGCCGGTCCCACTGGTAGTCTAGCAGCGTCTCCATCAAGGCGCTGTGCGTGTGGCTGGCCCGGGGCGCTGGGCCGGGGAGGTGGGCACCGTGCGCGCGATCCCCGAGCCGGGCCTCCAGCTCCTCCTCGAAGTCCTCCCAAGAGCGCGTCCCCAGCTCGCGGAAATTGGACGCGCGGGAGGTCCGGCCTCGCGCGCCTTGAGAGTCAAAGAACTTGAAGGCCCAGTGGACCCCAGTCAGGCCGAACCGGCAACCCAGGTAGGTGAGGAGGCGCAGGGCCGCCCGCCTGACCGGGCTCTGGAGAACGGAGCCACCCGCTGTGTCAAGAAGCAACATCACTTTGTGACAGCAAGCCATGTCGGCTGCGCCGCCACCCTTCGGGGCTGCAGCCGCGGCGCGCGCCCCTCTTCCAGAGACCTTTCCTTCAACAAACGAGCGCCATTGACTTCTTCCCTGGTCAAAAGTCTCCCGCGCTCTACCAAAATTAGTGCTATTGGCGGAGCTAGTTGCCAATGTCAGTTCTCATTGGCTACTTCTCCACGTAAATTACGTGAAGCCTTCAGTTTTGAAGCTGATTAGTAGGGCGGGGGAGAAAGTTCCATCTTGATTGGTCAAGGTCGTGACGTGGGCGGGCCTCTGAGGTCTGTGAAAAAATGAACATTCATTGGTCCGCGCCTTCAATTTAAAATTTAAAGAGGCGGTACTTGGGGGCGTGTCAAAAGTTTCCCTGTGGCTGCTCAGCGTTTGAGCAATTGTGCGCAAGCGCAGGAGCGCATTGGCGAAGGATCTGTGATGTTTTTACTAAGATTTTTGAAAACAGTGCCGGGAGAGAATATTGAGATAGTTTGAATCAAACCGATTTTAAGCAACGCCCTAGGACTTCTCTGGAGTGAATTCCAATGGCGAAGGCTTTAATTTTCTGTAAACGTTAGAGAGTCATTAAAAATTAAAATGTTACTCCTTTTACCCCAGTAATTTGTAGGAATGCGTTTGAAAAAGGCAACCATAAAGCCAGATAATAGATATGTGCACATCCTTCGCTAGATGTATGCGCATTTGTACGTACCTACAAAATAAAGATGTATTTAATTTGAGAAAAATTGGAAACACCAGCCAGTCACCCACTTCCTTCCTCTCCCTGGATCCGACTCAGGCTGATTTCAGAGATGTGAAGATGTGTTTCTGGATCTATGAAATCTACGGTGAATGGAATATAGCATTTGGAAAGAAAACAGGAGGCAAGAAGGAGAGGTGGTTAGTGGAGCTGTGTTTTGGGAGACTAAGCCAATCTTCAACATAGTTGAGTGACGCCTATTGAACAATTCACCCCTTCCTGTGCTCTACAGCCTCCATTATATTGCTTTTCCAGTCAAAGTCCTCAACAATTACTGCTTCTACTCAGTGACTTACCCTTTTATATGAGTTTTTCTAGAGCTTCCCGACATAACAAATGAACAGAAACAGAAATTTATGCTCAGAGTTCTGAAGCCTAAACAAAGTAGCATCCTTCCTCCTCCTTCCTTGCCTTTTCCAACTTCTGATGTTTGATGGGCATTTTGGTGGTCCTCCTGTGTCTTCACATTGTCTTCCCTCTGTGTCAAAATTTCCCTTTTTTTATAAGGACACCAATTGTTGGATGAGGACCTAGCTTAATAACTTTTTTTTTTTTTTTTTTTTTTGAGACAAGATGTCACTATGTAGTTCAAGCTGGCCTTGAACTCACTATGGAGCCCAGACTGGCCTCTAACTTGCAGTGATCCTCCTGTCTCAGCCTCCTGAGTGCTGGAATTACTAGCATGTATCCCCATACCTAACTTAATAACCTCATTTTAACTTGACTATTTCTATAACACTCTGTTTCCAAATAAGATCATATTTAGAAGTATTCAGGAACAGGACTTTAACATATTCATTTTGTGTGTAAGTGGAAGGAGACAGAATTGAATCCATTTGTTAGGGCTTAAATCTGTATGTCTACCCAAAGCCTTATGTGCTCGTAGATGGAGCTGGGTGGATCTAAGATGTGTGAATATGAATTAAGGCTGTGTAATAACTAAATTAGTCTAATGATTGGTTTGGCATAGTTGTGAGTGATACAGTTACTGGAAAGGGAAGCCTCACCCAGATGTGAGCATCACTATCTGAAGGGAATAAAAGGGAAAGGGAGGCTTTCTGTCTACCCTGCCATCGACTGTTCCTCTTTACCAGGCCTCTCTCTCATGCTGTTCTGTCTTTGAGCCAGTTGACTATGGACTGAAACTTCTACAAACTGTAAGCCAAAAATAAATCTTTCCTCATTAACTTGTGGATGTTGGGTATTTTGTCCCAGCAGCAAGAAAAGGAACTAAGACACCATCATATCTTGGCTAGTTAGCCATTCACTGCTCTTCCAGCAATACTCTCTGCATACTAGGCACTATTCCTGGTATGGGATTTACAGCCTGCTAGGGGCCTAGATATTAGACAATTGGTGCATATTAATGCAGTATAATATACTAATCTTTGAAAAGAATTTTGAGGACAAAGTGAAGTATTTGATGAGAGGTTACACTGACTAAGCTGATTAAGGTCTTTGTTTTAACATTAAAGGATAAGGAACAACTATTACTATAACAGGAGAACGTTTTTGTAGACAAGGTCTAGCTACATAGTTTTTTGTTTGTTTTATTTTATTTGGTACTGGGGATTAAACTCATGACCTTATGCTTGCCAAACAGGCCCTGTGCCATTCAGGTAAATTCCCAGAGACAGGGACATTTGAACTGAGATTTTAACAGTGGGGAGGGGTGGCAGGGAAAGGCATGTTAAGAAAAACGTTTGGGGGGCTGCGGATTTAGCTCAGCGGCATAAGCGCCTGCCTTACAAGCAGGCAGTCGTGAGTTCGATCCCCAGTACCGATAAAAAGGGAAAAGACCAAAAAAAAGAAAAAGAAAAATGTTTGGGGCACCTTTGAAAGACCCAGGTGGGAAGGAACACAGGAGGCTTAAGCAACAGAAAAGAGCTGGGGGAGAGAGTGTGCTGTGGATCTGGATAGTGATGAGCAAGGCTGGGGTGGGGCTCTGGAAGCCTCTTGAAAGAATGATTTGGATAGTTTATTGATAAGGACAGGAAGCCAATGCAAGGTTTGAGGAATGGGAGATTTAATATGATTTGTTTTGTGAAAAGAGCCCCTTCCTACTAAGTAGAAAATTAAACATATAAGGCAAAAATGGAAACAGTGAGACCCTGCAGAGCCTCCAAGAATCTGTTTTCCAAACCCAGAGGCTTACACACCAGGGAGTGACAAAGGCAGTTCAAGAGTATAGAAGGAGGGGCTGGGGATTTAGCTCAGAGGCATGAGCACGCCTGCCTTCATTTCTCCTGTTTTTTTTTTTTAATCTAATGACACATTCATTGGATAACAGTATTTGTGACATATTGCATTTTTCCTATAACTAATTAAGTGAATTTGGAGATTATCTGATTGGATTTTAATTAAAACAACTCTTGAAAAATGGGCCAGTAACTTTATAAGATTCCTACTGAGCTTACTCAGCCACCCTATCTTTGACAAAAGGTGCAAACACATTCCTGGAAGAAAGAGAGCCTCTTTAATAAATAGTGCTAGAAAAACTGGCTTGCGCATGCCAAAGATTAAAATTGGATCCATATCTTTTATCTTGCAAAAACTAAATTTGAAATGGATCAAAGATATAAATATTAAAACAGAAACATTAAATTTGCTGGAAGATAGAGTACATAAAGCTCCTAAAGACATTGGTGTAAGCAAAGGCTTTAACAATAAAACCTCAACTGCACAGGAACTATCACAAAGAATCAAAATTGGGATCTCATCTTACTAGAATGCTTTTGCACAGCAAGAGAAACCACCAACAGAGTGAAGAGACAACTCACAATGTGGGAAAAATGTTTGCCAGCTGTTCCTCAGACAAGGGATTACTATTGTGAACACATAAAGAAGTCAAAGTAATCAGACGTCCCAGACTCAAAGACCCAATCCAAAAGTGGACATCTGAGATGAATACATACTTCTCAGATAAAGAAATATGAACAGCAAATAAATATGTGAAAAAAATGTACATCACTGGTCATTCAAGAGATGCAAATTAAAACAACACTGAGATCCCACCTCACCCCAGAAAGAATGGCTGTTATCAAGAAATCAAGCAATAACAAATGCCGGAGAGGCTGCAGAGAAAAAGGAACCTTCTCCACTGTTGGTGGGAGTGCAGACTGGTGCTACCACTGTGGAAATCAGTGAGGAGATTCCTCAGAAAATTAGAATTAGAGGTCCCATTTGACCCAGCTATTCCCCTTTTAGGTATCTTCCCAGAAGAATTAAAAAGATCATACCACAATGATATATGTATAGCCATATTTATAGCAACACAATTTGTAATACCTAGATCTTAGAAACAACCAAAATGTCCATCAATCAGGAAAGAATAAAAAGATGTGATCTTTTTATACAATGGAGTACTACTCAGTCGTAAAGAAAGATAAACTGGAGACTTTTATAGGTAAATGGAAACAACTAGAGACCATACTCATAAGTGGAATAAGCCAGATACACATGTGTAAACATTGTATTCTCCTGTGTGAGAAGCTGAAAGAGTAAATAAGAGTAAATAATATCCAAAATGTACAATAGATATTGTAGAATGGGAGGAAACTTCAAAAAGAAAGAATAACTAGGATGGGAGAAAGGAGAAAAGAAGGAAAGGAAAAGCAAAAAAACCTGTATATATATCAAAATAATTAAGATAGTTATATTACTAATTTAGTTCATTGAAAAGAAAGGTTTGTGCTAATATTGTTTGGACAATTAAATGCCTATGTCTTGTACTCTGAGTGCCTAATTTCAAGATAACAATATGCAACATACTAACCATTGTTACCCTATTATCTTGTTTTGAAATTTTAGTTTTTTTCCTCTTTAAAGAAAGATTTCTATTGAGAAACTACATATTGAAATCATATTACTGATATCAATAATATAATCACAAGCAAACCACATGAGCATGATGGGCCTGATATTCTTTTCCTTTTGTCAGCCACATTTTGAGTTATTTTTTATAAAGACAATTTGGTCAAACCTCACACCCAATTACCCAGATGAAATTTGCAATTAGCACAAAAAGCTATTCAAAATACAGATCTGGGATGGGAGACACAGCTCACAGTAAAGTACTTACGTAGCATGCATAAAGCCCTGGATGCAGTCCCCAGGGCTCAAAACAGAAACAAAGAGCCAATGAAATATAAATGTTTTTGTTGTCATTAAATACAAGCCCTACTCAGAACTGTGCCTTGAAACAGTAGGTAAAATGATAGTACGAGGCAGCCACACACCTGTGATCACACCACTCAGGAGGCTAAGTCAGGAGGATTGCCGTGAGTTCAAGGCCAGCCTAAACTGCATGGTGAGACCTTGTCTCAAATAATAAATAAGTAAATAAGGATAATATGAAGATATAAAAGATTTTTAAAAATTGCTCATTTTCTTTCTATATCACTTTTATAGATTTCTACTTTTATTTCTGTATTTAATTTTATAGTACCTAGAGGTATTAATAGAAAACTGTCTGCATATAATTTGCCAAT